TTCAACCTTCTTGAACTTGTAGAGACTTGTTTTGTGTCCTAACGTGTGGTCTATGTTTGAGAATGTCCCGTGTGCACTTGAGGAGAATGCATATTCTGCAGCTTTGGGGGGAAATGTTGATCGTTCCATTAAAGTCCTCCAGAAGTTTTTTGTTTGTTGTTGGTGTTTTGTTTTGTTTTGTTTTTAGCCTGTGAGTCTTTTTTTCTGAGGTGGGTCTCTTGTAGACAGCATATATTTGGGTCATGTTTTCTTATCCATTCAGCTACCTTATGTCCTTTGTTCGGAGCATTTATATTTAAGGTTGTTATTGATAGGTCCTTATCTATTCCCATTATATTTCTTTATGCCTATGTTTCTCATTCTTTCTATTTCAGCTTCTTATTATAGCAGTCCCTTTAACAGTTCTTGCAATGCTGGTTTGGTAGTGATAAACCCCTTTAGCCTTTTTTTGTTTGGAAAGCTCTTTATTCCACAATCTATTTTGAATGATAGCCTTGCTGGATAGAGTAGTATGGTTTCAGATTCTTGTTTTGCATTACCTTGAATACTTCATGCCATTCTCTTCTGGCCTGTAGAGTTTCTGATGAGAAAACAGGAACGCCATTTTAGGTAACAGCTTGCTTTTCTCTGGCTTCCTTTAAGATTCTCTCTCTGTCTAGAATTTTTGGCATTTTAATTATGATGTGTCTGGGTGTGGGCCTCTTTAGGTTCTTCTTACATGGGACTCTCTGTGCATCCTGAACTTGTGTGACTTTTTCCTTGACCAAGTTAGGGAAGTTTTCTGCCCTTGTTTCTTCAAACAGGTTCTCTAACCCTTGCTTACTTTCTACATCTTCTGGAAGTCCTATGATGCGAATATTGTTTCATGTTGTCTCACAGCTCCCTTAAACTGTCCTCGTTTTTTATTTTATTTTATTTTACTTTATCTTNAGCTCCCTTAAACTGTCCTCGTTTTTTATTTTATTTTATTTTACTTTATCTTATTTTTTTATTGATTTCAGAGAGAGGAAGGGAGAGGGGGAGAGAGATAGAAACATCAATGATGAGATAGAGTCATTGATGGGCTGCCTCCTGTACGCCCTCTGCTGGGGATGGATCCTGAAGCCTGGGCATGTGCCCTGACCTGGAATCGAACTTCAGTCTCCTGGATCATAGGTCGATGCTCAACCACTGAGCCATGCTGTCCAGGCTGTCCTCTTGTTTTTTAATTGTTTTTTTCCTTTTGGTTGTTCTCTGATTGAGTGATTTTTTTCCTGCTGTCTTCTATTTCACTGATCTGATTCTCAGCTTCTTCTAATTGGCTGTTTATTCCTTCCAATGTTTATTTTTTAATTTTTTTTATTTCTACTATGTTATTCTTAATTTCCTTCATAGTTTCCATTTCTTTTCTCATGCTGTTGAGCATCCTTATGGTCAGTATTCTCTGAACTCTGTCTGATAGATTGCTTATTTTTATTTCACTTAGTTCTTTTGGAGAATCTTTTGTTCTTTCATTTGGGGCTTGTTTTTTTGTCTCCTTATTTTCACTTCCTGTTTGGATTTGTTTCTGTGTATTAGGTAGATCTGCTAAGATTCCCAATCTTTTGGATGGTCTCTGGTGCAGGCCAATGTCAGACACAATTTGTGACTGGCCTTGACTACCCTGTTTGAAGTTTTGTGCACTCCACATCTTCTGGTGCCCTCTGCTGGGGCTGGGTGTGTTTGGACATGACCAAGATGTGCACCATGGTCTGCTTTTCCAAGCCCTGGGTCCAGAAGCAAATCAGGCAAAGACTCAAAGCACCCAGAGGCTGTTATTCAGTCTCTTAATGAGCCTCACGCTGTAGAAACTCCACAGGGTGGGGCGAGACGTTTTCCAACAGAGTGGAGCAATTGCTTCCCCCCCAGGCAAAAGCTACTTGGAAGTTAAATGTCTGCCTGAGAAAGAGGTCCTCTTATGTATGGGAGAATGACTCAGTATAGGAATCCAAATGGCTGCCCTTTGATCTCTTATTTCCCCAGCCAGCACCCTTGGGTTCTCCTTACACAGCTCTACCCCACTCTGCCCTCCCTCCACCAGAGCCCAAGGTGAATGGCTGCACCCAAAACTTTATGTGGTGGCCCTTTAAGACGGTGCCTGCAATTCTAGCTGTCTCTCCTTGGCAGACAGAAACCTTGCTGCTTTTCACAGCCAGATGTTATGTGGGCAACTTTCTCAGTTCTGGTGCTCTGGGCTGAGGAGCCCAGCTTGGGTTTAGACCCCAAAGTTCTCAGTGGGAACCCCTACAGCTGAGCTATCCCTCTGGACCTTCAACTGCTGCCTGTGGGAGCCCAGCCAGCCCACGTTCCTCCACACTTCCTACCAGTCCCTATGTGATCTCCACTTTTCCCTCTTGGTTATGAGGGTGCTTTCCAGCTCATCTGCAGTTGCAGTTGATTACTCAGGATGGTTTTCCTATATTTTAATTGTAATTCCACTTTCATCTTGGGAGAGTATCAGTGTAGCTTCCACTCAATCCACTGCAATCTTGGAATCTCTCTTTTTTTTCCTTGATGAGTCTGGTTAAAGATTTGTCAATCTTGTTTATCTTTTCAAAGAGTGAGCTCTTGGTTTCATTGATCTTTTGTATTGCTTTTTAGTCTCTATGTCATTTATTTATGCTGTAATCTTTATTATTTCCTTTGTTCTACTCACTTGGGTTTTCTTTGTTGTTCTTTTCTAGTTCATTTGGGTATGAGATTAGATTATATATTTGGTACTTTTCTTGCTTCTTGAGGTAGATCTGTATTGCTATGATTTTTCCTCTTAGGACTGCTTTTGCTGTGTCCCCTAGATTTTTGATTCTAGAGTGTTCATTGTCATTTGACTCAAGGTAACTTCTGATTTCTTCCTTGATCTCATTGTTTATCCATTTGTTGTTTAGTAACATGTTATTTAGCCTCCATGTGTTTGTGTTTCTTCCCTTTTTTTTTGTAATTGATTTCTAGTTTCATACAATTGTGGTCAGAGAAGATGCTTGATATGATTTCAGTCTTCTTAAACTTACTGAGAGTCATTTTGTGTTCTAACATGCAGCCTGTCCTAGAAAATGTTCCATGTGTACTTCAAAAGAATGTATGTGTGCTGCATAATTCACCAGGTAGAGGCAAGTGGTGTTTACCAGATTGATACATATTCAAACTTGGCACCAGTACTGGGCTTGAGGCCACTCAGCCACAGTCTCAGGGTACACCAAGGTCAGCTGCCACCCACCAGTGCCTGTGGACCTTTTGGTGGGGCAGTGCCTCAGTGATTCATTAGGGTGAGGCCAGCAGTTTTCATCAAGATCAAACAGACCAAGGTTTGGCTGTGTGAAGGGAGGGCTCGGCACAGGAATTGTGGCCCTAGTCTGGTGTGTGAGGGAATGATGGCCCTGCCGAAGAACCACACAACTCATTTTTTCCCAGAGTTTGCCCAACCTCCTGGTGAATCTTCTATCAGGAGTAGGGGGGGATGACACTAGGTTGGCCGCAGCCTGCTGAAACTATTGCAACCTCAGCAGGGCGGGGCCCAACAGGAGTTGGGAGGGGAGGGTGAAACTCTGGTTCTCTTGGTGGGGCTAGTGGATCTCCCTTGGGGGGATAAGGTGCCACTTTTCTGGCCCATGGAGTGGGCTGTCACCACTTGAGACCCTCTCCCCGCACTGAAGCACACTGTGGGGGGAGGAGAATTGTTTTTTTCCCCAGAGCAACACAAGTCCTTTTCTGATCCTCCCCGAGTTTGCCCTCAAGATCCTACCGAGAAAGTCTACAGCACAGGCCCAGGCAGCAGGTCCCTCTGCATGGTGTGAGCTCAGCTGGAGAGGGAAACAGGGGGCTGGAGGGTGGGGCTTGTGCAGTGTCATCGCCCCCCGCCCCGTAGATGCAGTTTGGAGGAGTGTGCTTGACCCAGGAAAGATGGTGTCTGTGGGCAGGGTAGGAGAGAGACTCAGCACAGGGACCCTGGTGGCTGTCTCTTCAGCTCCTTCCCCGAGCCACACATCTCAGTCTGTCTTCACAGGACTCCAGTTCACTCCAAGCCACCTTCCCTCCAGCAGGGTGGAGGGTGAGTGGCTTCCAGCAAGATTTTATGCACTGGCCCTTTAAGAGAGCACCTGGGTTTCTAGCTGACTCTAGTCTTTCCCTGGTGGACAGAATTCCTGCTGATTTTCACATCCAGATGTTATGTGGGTGCCTGTTCTGGCTCTGTTGCTTCTGGCTGGGGAGCCTTACCTGGGATTGAGACTCCATATTACTCAGGGGGAGACTTTGCAGCTGAGATATCCCTGTGGATCCTCAGTGGCTGCCTGTGGGTGTGGGGCCAGCCCTTTCCACCCCTCCTCCTAGGCTCCATGTGGCTTTTTCTTTGAACCCTTGGTTATAAGACTTCTGTTCAGCTAGTCTTCAGTTGGTCATTCAGGTTGACTGTTCTGTATTTTAGTTGTAATTCTAGTTCAGGCCGGTGGAGGTGTGTATAACTGCCACCTACTGCACCACCATCTTCTTCCTCTCTCTAATTTAATTTACTAGAGCCTTACATGAATATTTTTCTGGATATTTTTATTTGCCTTCATGATTTCTTGTGTGTTTATGAGTTTTGTAATTAAATGGAGTACCAATATAAATCACTTCTATTAATTGTGTTTTTGATGAGTAATTTAATTATATTTGCTTTTGGTATATTATTAAGTTAATAGCAAGATATAAAAATCTAACAAAATATTCAATTTATCTATCTATCATCTATCTATCTACTTATTTATTTATTTAAAACATGTCTTTATTGATTTCAGAGAGTGGGAGAGAGAGGGAGAGAGAGAGAAACATCAATGATGAGAGTCATCGGCTGCTTCCTGCATGCCCCCCACTGGGGATCTAGCCCGAAATCCAGGCATGTGCCTGGACTGGGAATCGAACTGCCATCGCTTGGATCATAGGCCGATTCTCAACCACTGAGCCACACTGGGCCAAAATACTCATTTTAGATATTTCATTTTTTTCAGAAACAATGAGTAGAGGATCTGAAGTCCACATTTTTTGGGGTGCTCCAATGGGTCCATTGAAAATGACAGCATCACAGGAACCGACTTCTTTAATGTCTACGGCTAACCCATGGGAAAAAGTTCAGCTTTTATACAGTGAGCATTCTTTACATCTGAAGGATGAAAAATGCAAGAATAAAACTCTTGGAGATGATCAAACCCTAGAAGCTGCTGGTCCTCCAGATCTTCTTCATGGTCCTGTTTTAGAAAACTCTATGAATAGATCTGTTCATGTGGAAGATGACTTTATACATTGTATTTCTGAAACACAGACTTTAAAATTCCAAAAGAGTCACCCCTTCTGGATGAGTGAGGTACCTAAGTCTGATGTCCAAGTGTGTGAATGTAAGGGCGGAGTTCTGCATTTAACTGAAGAAGGAAAGTATCCAAAGCTTTTCAGTAAAAATAAGAAAATCACAGTTGAACAGCATAAACATCAATCAAACATATGTGGTCAAAACATCCAAAAAAAGGTCTTTCAGCTAGACCATGAGTGTGCAGCTGCATTGGATTTGGTCTGTAGTACTGAAAAGATTGATACAGGGCCAGGAGCTATTGACACGAGCTGTATACCAACAGAGCGTCATGAAATTCAAAACCGGTGTCTGGGAAAGAGTTCTAACACAGTAGGTAAGCCAAGGTCTGAAAGAGCGGTTAGGAAAGTCTCAGACCTTAAGGTATCTACTGATACTGAATTTCTCAGTATAATGACCTCCAGCCAACTTGCTTTTTTAGCTCAAAGGAAGTATACAGGGGAGAATTCTATAAATAAAGGGATGGTGAACATGGAGATTGAACCAGGAGCAAGTCATGGGGAAGTAAAAATAACTAAAGATAATTTGATTCAGCCTGATGGTGATTTTGTAGAAAGATATGAAAGTCGACAAAACCAAGCATATTCCCTTGAACTTTTTAGTCCTGTTTTTCCTGAAACAAAAAGTAGCCACATTCACATAAAGTCTGATAAAGGTCTTGAAGAAAATACAGGATCTCAAGAACTTTTCAGTTTTGAAGATAAACTGCCGTCAAATGAGATATGTATTGAGTCATATAGCTCAGGAATACTGTGTTCCCAAGTAAATTCCTCCCACAAAGGTTCTGTTAAACGAAATTGGACCTCTGATGATAAATTGGGCCGTCTTAAAGTCCTCCAAGTTTCTAAGAAAACTAAGCTGGTTTCTAATGCAGGAGGTCCTACTACAGCAAAGCACCAGAGGAGTGTGTCCGAATGCAAGGGTATTAAAGAGACATCATTAATAAAAAACTGTGATTCTAAAAGTCAGAAGTATAATTGTTTAGTCATGGTGCTCTCTCCATGTCATGTCAAAGAAATAAATATAAAATCTGGACCAAATTCTGGCTCCAAAGTGCCTTTAGCAACAATTGTGATAATTGACCAGTCAGAAATTAAGAAGAAGGTGTTTCTGTGGAGGACTGCCGCATTTTGGGCACTTACGGTGTTCCTTGGAGATATAATTTTACTCACAGGTAAGGTCATCGTGGTACAGTGGTAGTTTAGTTTATAAAGCTGTAAGGTTTTCTCCCTCCTACTGAAGGGCTCTTTCTTTCCCACTTGCCTCCCTGGGCTCCAGCATGACTGATGCCTTAGCATCCGCGCTGGCCTCCTCCCCACTGCCTGGTATTCTGTGCCTTGCCATTTCTGGGCCTGTATCCCAGCCTTCTCAGCTCTCTCCCTCCTCCACTCATCTCTTGAAGAAGCCTTCCCTGGTCACTGCTCCTCATTATGTTGGCGTTTAGGTTATATTATCAGGCTCTTTCTTTGTTTTCTTATGGTTTTGTCTGTGTATGTCTTATTTTCAACCCTTTATATTAGCAGTTTTATGATGAAAAGACAGTGTTTCTATTGCTTTACTTAATCCCTAATAATACTGTGCACATTACATTCTTATTGCGGGAACAGATACAGAATTTCTGTTGCACTTTTAAATTATTGAAATTATATTAATCACATTTGGAAATATGGAAAGGGAAACTCCTGGTATCATACCAACCTCATATAACTACCAGCAGCATTTTGGAGTGTCACCAGTTATCTTTCCTATACTTCTTAAAATTTGTATACATGCATATATTATATATCAAAACCTGATATTTGTTGGGAATTTACTGTGTGTCAAACCCTGTTTTATACTTAACATGTATATCAACTCTACAACTATATGAGGAAGGTCCTGGTTTTTATTCCTATTTTTCAGTTTGAGGAAACTGAGACCCGGAGAAGTAAAGCAGCTTGCCCAATGTCGTGCACTTCTAGGAAGTGCCAAAGCTGGGAAGGTTTCATCTGGGCTCCAGGATCCATATCCTTCCTATATAGTTGTAACCATAAAGAACATATAGTTTTTTATTCTGCTTTTTTGCCTGACATAAGAAATTTAGTATTTTGTTACATTTCTCTATTGATTTAAAATTAATGCACAGTGTATTAGAGGAGAGACACCAGTTGTTTTAAGGATGAACCTCAGACCAGGAGGAAGTTGATTGAGCTTAATAACACATCTAAAGAAAGAATGTGATAGAGAGGAGGTACAGGGTCAGCCTTAAAAGTTTAGAAAAAGAAACCATCAAGACAGTCATTAGTGGTTTCTACCAAACTGTTTGCTGGGGGAATGAGAACCTTAGCTAATATACCTTGGTAGTTGTGTAAGATTGTGAGGTGCTGTCCCTAATAAAGGAGACAATCCTGGGATTGAAACTCACAGGCTTAGCATAATCTCGTCCCACTGGCAATATCATCTTATTTGCTGGCAAATCAATTCCTCTAACTCGTTTGGTTCTGACTCGGTGCCCACTGAGCAGCCCTTTTTGGTCATGATGGGCTTCCGTGTAAACTTCCTACCAGGCGTATGATGTAAACAGTAGTGGTGGCAGGGCTGTGGGCAGATTCAAGAGGCAGAGTCAAAAGCTGGGGCTTGGTGACAAAGGTGGGAAGGGAGGCGCGGAAGTTCAGGATGACCTCACATTTTAATTTACCTGGCTAGCAGCATAGTGCCAACAAATGAAATGAATAATATGAAGAGCAAAGCAGGTTTGAGCCATACTGAGATTGGGGAGCCAATAGAATATCCAGTCAGGAATGCCCATTAGGCAGTTGTGGATAAATGGGTAAAAGGGTTTGAAACTGAGGTCTGGAATTAAGTTTGGAAATAATTACTTGAAATTCATGCGTCTTTGTTTTTCTTATTATCTCCAAGGGCCGACGCTCTAACCACTGAACAAAACTGGTGAGGGCCAGAGTCTTTCACTCTTTTTTTTTTTTTTAAATATGTCTTTATTGATTTCAGAGAGAGGAAAGGAGAGGGAGAGAGAGAGAGAGAGAAACATCAACGACAAGAGAGTCATTGATCAAGCTCGCAACCCGGGCATGTGCCCTGACCGGGAATCGAACCCCGATCGCCTGGATCCTAGGTCGATGGTCAACCGCTGAGCCACGCCCGGCCGGGCGAGTCTTTCACTCTTAACATCCAGGGAAGATGATTACCATGCTCTTTAGGGAGAAACAATAAAAGTCCTTCAAGAGTGCCTCATACTATATTTGCGTTTATAGCAGAAGGGGTAACTGCACATTGAATATTATTTACTCTTCTAGGCACTACTGCTTTGGAACCACTATGTTGCTTCTTGGTCCTGAATAATTTACTTTTGATCAGAAATGTTCATTGTAGCATGTATCTTATGTAAACAAAAGCCATAATGTCTGTGGAGCAGTAAGCTTCCATATTGACACTGTTTGAATATACAGAAGCAATTTTGTTATTTTACATACAGACAGACATACCTAGGTTCAGATTTCGGATTTGCTATTTTATCATTTTGTTCCTTAGGCAGGTCATTTAACATATTTGGGCTTTAATTTGTATGTGGGAGGCATGCATAATATTTTGTTATGGTTGGAAAGTTAACTACAGTATGAAGGAATATATGGCATGATCAGAACTTTTTTCCCCCCTTTCTAGATGTTACTATTCATGAAGGTCATTGGGTTGGTGAGACAATACTACAATCAACACGTACCAGTCAGCTATTAAATCTTGGGAGCTATTCATCTGTCCAGCCTGAAGAATGTAAGGCACATTTTACATATAATAATATCTTAGTATTTAAAGTATATATATATATATATATATATATATATATATATATATATATATATATATTAGAAAAAAGTGGTTAAAATGGTGATTATATAAAATGTTTTCTAAATAAGTTTGCCGGAGAGTATTGCTTTAATTTGTTTAGTAAGAATGAAAATAGAATTTATAAAAGTGAAATTGTGCATTGTAAATCATATATATTTTAAGAAATATTGGGTTCATGTTTCATTTTCTTAGAGAATCAGTGTAGTGGTGGTTCTTAACCTTTTTGGGAGCCATGGACCTGTATGAGAAGCTATGGGCCATTTCTCCAGAAAAATGGACTTAAGTAGATAGACATAAAATTTTGCATATAGTACTAAGTGGTTTCATGGACCTCCAAGTTCTGTGGAATTTCTGAGCCTTTGATTAAGAATCTTTGAGGCAATGAGAAAAATAGGGTCATAGCCAGTTGTGGTTCAAGTCCTTGTTCCTCTGTCTGCCGTTACTAGGAAAACTACCTTCCTTCTCTGACATAATTTTTGCTTCTTTAAAATAAGCTGTTGAGTAAAGAAACCAGCAGGTATCTTTTTCTCCAAGAAATAAGAAAGAAAATAAAGTAAGGGAGGCAGTATAAACTGGTGGTTGTAGTCTCTGGAGTCAAATGGACCAGAATTTGAATCCTGATCCTACAACTTCCAGAGTCTATATCTTTAGGCAAGTTACTTGGCCTCATTATACCCTTTCTCCTCATCTGTGAAATGGAAATAAAAATACACACATAGCTTATATGGTTGTTGTGAAGATTAAATGAGAGAATGAATATGAGGTGTTGAACCTGCATATAATATATTAATATTAGTGGGAGAAGTACTAAGCAAAATATGTTTTATAAAATACTGCAATAGTGTCATAGAAAAATAGCTATCAGTATATAAAGATTATACAGGAGATTAATTAGAATAAGAAGAAGATAAAGCATGGAATTCCAACCTCTGAATAATAAGAATTCTCAAAGAAAGGCAGAGTAAGCAGAAGAGAATGGTAACAATTAGAACAGCAATAGTGGTGTTTGGAAAGGGCAGGATTTTCCTGTGTCCTAGGGAACCTAGTTAGCAGAAAATCAGCACTGGCATATTCTCATAAGATAACTAAAACCAAGTTCCTCATCGACCCAGTATGTTTTCACTGTTTGTGGGATAGACACCTGGTCTGCCTTTGTGGAGCTCCCATTCCTCTGTGGGAGACAGACATGTAAATAAAATATTTGCAGGTGATAATGAATGCTATGAAGGAAAATAACTAAGGGCAAGAACACCATGGTTGTGGTTGTGAAGGGCTGGTTGTGGAGTGGAATCAGAGTTAGAAGTTATAATAGTTCAGGTTGAAAGATAATGGGGAAGCTAGCAGAGATCATGAGAAATGAATGGATTTGAGATATAGCTGCAGAGTTAACAGGATTTTCTGATGGTGTGGTTTTGGGGATGGGGAAGAAGAGCAATCTACTGGTATTGAGTGTCTGGTTTCAGTAACTAGATAGGCTGTATTAGGAAAGAGTGAGGGAAAACAGGTTCATGGGGAAAATTAAGGGTTCTGTTTTGAGAATATGTTAAGTTTTGGATATCTCTGAGGTATCCAGATGGAGATGTCATATAGGGATTGGAAACAAAGTCCAAAACTCAGAGGAAAGGTCTGAAATTAACGCATAAATTTTAGGCCCTAGCCACTATGGCTCAGTGGGTAGAGCGTCAGCCTATGGACTGAAGGGTCCCAGGTTTGATCCGGCCAAGGGCATATATCTCAGTTGTAGGCTCGATTCTTGGCTCCAGTTGGAGTGCGTGCGGGAGGCAACCAGTCAATGAGGATTAAAAAAAAAGATATAAATTTTAGAATTATTAGCTGTGTTATTGGGATTGATGTATTTTTAAAATTTATTTTGAGAGTACATTTATTAAAGCTGGGGACAGTGAAACAAAGGAAGGACTTAGGGTATAAGAAGCAACAGAAGAGAGCCCTAGGAGGAACTCTACTTTGGCTCTCTGGAAAGATTATAGGAAAGAAGTGAGCCACGCTGGGCTGTGTGGACTCAATGAGAAGTTAAAGTCACAGTGACAGAAGTGAGCCACGGTGGGGCTGCTGTTAGCTCACTGAAAAGTCAGAGGAAAGGGGGCCTTGGAGATAAGTTCAGGGGGTTAGCCTGCTGCTGCCTGTTGCTCCCCTGTTTACAAGTCTCATAGGGACCTTTAGAGTGTAGGAGAGAAGAGTAAAGAGGTGCGCTGAGAGGGAAGAAAGCCATGGGAGTGGTCCAGAGCCCGCATTATTGGATTTATATTATGAAATATATATTTATTTTGTCTTTTTCCCCATTTCTGGCACAGAGCTCCTAAAACCCTTGGGATTTTTTAAGTGATAAGAGTGATAAAGTTGTCTTGATATTCATAATGAACCCCTTTTGGAAAGCACTTAAGGATGGGGGCTGGTTGCCAGGGGAACCAACAATGTGATTAATGGGTTGGAAATTTCTGTACCCCTCCCCCCCAGGAGAGAAGGGCTGGAGATTGAATCAATCACCAGTGGCTAGTGATTTAATCAATCAAGCCTATGTAATGAAACCTCCATTAAAATCCTAAAAAGGCAGGGTTTGGAGAGCTTCCAGATTGTTGAACATGTGGAGGTATGGGAGAGTGCAGTGCTCAGAGAGTACGTGAAAGCACTGTGCCCCTTCTCATATACCTTACCCTTGCATCTTTCCCATCTAACTTAATATACACCCTTTATAATAAACTGGTAAGTATAACTAAATGTTTCTCTGAGTTTTGTGAGCCCCTCTAGCAAATTAATTGAATCCGAGGAGGGGGTTGTGGGAACCTCTGATTGATAGTAGGCCAATCACAAGCACAGGTGACAACCTGGACTTATGATTGGCATCTGAGATGAGGGAATGAGGAGGGACCATCTTGTAGAACTGAGCCCTGAACTTGTGGGATCTGATGCTATCTCAAGGTAGACTGTGTCAGAATTGAGTTAATTGCTTGGTGGTATGGAATAAAAAAACATTGGAATAGGTGTCAGAATCACAGTAGCATAAAGATGATATTTATTTTATCATTTAAAAAACTTTTACTTTTGAAATTATAGACTTATAAGGGATAAAGTTTCATGAGCCTTTCACCCAGCTTCCCCAATGGTGACATCTTATATAACTTTAGGACAATATCAATACTGGGAAAGTGACATTGACATTGCTGATACTATTAACTAGACTGTAGACCTTATTCAGTTTTCACATCCATATGTGTGTGTTTGTGTGTGTGTAGTTCTTTGAAGTTTGATCCCGTGTAAATGTGTGTGAACACCACCACAATAAAAATACAGAACTGTTCCCTTACCACAAAGGAACTCCTTCATGCTATCTTTTCAATAGTCATCGCTGTCCCTGGTCCAATCCCCATCTGTCCTCTGACAACCACTAATTTCACCTCCATCTCATCTTTGTCATTTTGAGAGTATTATATAAATGGAATCATGGAAATGATTCATGGAAATGAAATAATGATTTCACTTACAAGTGAAATCATGTTACCCAAATGTAATCTTTTGAGATTGGCTTTTTTCAGTAAACATAATGCCCTGAGATCCATCCAGGTTGTTGCATATATCAGTTGTTATTTCTCTTCAGTGCTGAGTAGTATTCCATTGTGTGGATCTACCAGAGTTTGTTGATACTAATATTCATGTGGAAAACTAATATGCAAGAATAGTTAGGAAAACATTGAAAAAGAAAAGCTATGGGGGACTGGGCTTACTAGGCATTAAAACATACTATAAAGCCTCTGTAATTAAAACAGCATGATACTGGTGCATGACTAGACAAATAGACCAATGGAATAGAATAGAAAGATCAGAATTCGACCCACATACATATAATTTAGTATATGATAAAGATGGTATCTGAAATCACTGAGGTAAAGGTTAATTTTTTAATGAATTGTGCTGAGGCAACTGGTAGCCATTTAGAAAAAGATGGAATTATACCCCAAGCTCATAACAAATAGAAGAATAAACTCCAAATGTATTCAGAATCTAAATATAAAAAATAATACAACTGCTAGGAGGAAACAGATGAATTCCTCTTTAATTGTAGTGAGGGAAAGGCTTTCTTACTAATACTCAGAATCCAGAGGCAGTAAAAAATAAGACTGATAAGTTTGACTGCAGAAAAATAAAATTATGAATGACTGAAACAACATAAACAAAGTCAAAAGACAACTGGTAAACTTTGAGAGGGTATTTGTAACATACACCTTAGATGAAAGACTAATATCCCTAATATATAGAGAACTCTTAAAAACTGAATGACAAAGGACTTGGTGGGAAAAAAAACAGGAGAAATTCAAATTTAAACTACACAAAAATATTTTTTTACCTAGCAGATTGGCAAAAGTTAAAAAAATAGGACAATATATTCTGTTGGTAAAGCTGTGGGGAAATGGTCTCTCTTATAATTGCTGGAGGGAGTGGAAACTGCTACAGACCTCCTGAAGGGATGTTTGGCAGTACCCAATAGGCCTACTTTTAGGAGTCTGTCTTGAAGATACAGCTATAACAATATGAAAATACATATGCACAAATTCATTCATTGTAATTGCAAGACATTGGAAGAAATAGAAATCCCCTTACATAACAGACTGGTTGATTAAATTATGGTACAGTCACGTAGTGGAATGCTGAAACTATAAAAAAATGAAAGAGTTCTATGAACTGATATGAAGTGATTTCCAGGACATACTGTTACGTGAAAAACACAGAGCTCAAAAAAGTATGTGCAGTATGCCATTCTTCACGTAGAAAGGAAGAGAGGAATAATAAAATCACATGTATTTCTTCATTTGTGCAAAAATAAGAAAAGCAGGAAGAATAAACTGAAAGCAGTTGGTTACCAGCAGGGAGTGAGTGGGAAAGGGGAGAGGGAGGAAATGGAAATAGGGCAGCGTTGATGGAGAGTCAGCGGCACTTGTGTGCCTCCCAGCTCCGCAGCCATGTTTCCTATACCCCCAAGTAAACAAAGAATTGAAACCGTCGGGAATGTGGCGGAGGGGCCCCAAAGTGGAACACACACGCTAGCAAATGAACCGAACAGTGTTACAGTGAAGAAATAACTGCACAGAGGGCCGTGGTGGGGAGAACAAATGTAAGTGATTGTGGAAAACAGAATCTACTGGATTCTGCCAGGCTCGAGACAAAGGGCTGCACGAGCTGTGGTCGGATTAGTGCACATGTTTCTCAGGGGAGTGAGTGAGCAACAAGTCTAGTATACACTAGAATTGAACAACTGGGCCCTGGCCCAGTAGCTCAGTTGGTTAGAGTGTTGTCCTGATACACCAAGGTTGCGGGTTTGATCCCTGGTCAGGGCGCATACAAAAATCAACCAATGAATGCACAAATAAGTGGAGCAACAAACCTTTCTCTCTCTTTCTCTTCCTCTCTCTCAAATCAATAATAATAATAAAAGGACAAGTAAGTGAATACATGGTAGATAACCAGAATTGGGTTTCTCACTGTCATAGAAAGAAATTATAAATAAAGGGGCAAGGCTAGAAAGAACCTCCTGTTTTGGAGCCAGAGGTATTGGTTATGAACTCATGGTTTTCAGTATATAGATAGGTAGATAAATAGATTAACAAGGTACAGAAATATAGAGGTGTGTGTGTACGGCTGGGCTAAAATACATATGGAGGTTTCCTAGTCTGTCTGCAGAGCGGACATAGGAGCAGCGCCTGCAGCAACCGTGAGCATGCATGGTGCCCAGACCCGACCTGTAAACACTGTTCTCTGATGAAAGGGACCAGCCCTGCTAGAATTGTGGCTACAGGACTGGACAGGGGAGAGAGAGGAACAGAGAGCTGGCATGAAGGAGCACTGCCTGGCCACAACTGGAACAGTTTAAGCAATAAATAAATAAGGGTAGGATCAGAGTAAAAGCCATAGATTAAGATATTTATGGGTCCATACCGATATAAATAAACCTTCAACTGACTGTCTGACTAAGTAAACAAATAAGAAGGTCGTATTCCTCACATTGGAGCTTCCGTGCATAAGTATGAGGGGGAAGAGAAAACTAGAGAATTATTGTCAGGCAAACACCACAGTAATAAATACTGTAGACAAGGATCCACTGGTAGGTCCTAAAATTAGTAGGTGGAAGTTTTGGGAGAAATAGCACAGCATAGTCTCAAAGTATCTCCCTGAGACAGTTATCAGCTTACAAGAGAAAAATAATTTTTTAGTGAAGAAACTTGGCAGACACCAACTTAAATGAGTGGTGAAGCCAGTTTTTAACTTGGGGATTTCCTTAAAAGATTTAAGTTTAATTTTTTATTTTGAATATTTGAAGTTGCCACATCTTGGAAGGCATATTTCCAAGGAGCTAAATGGCTTTTAAGTAAAATTAATGATAGTTTTATAGATGTTAGTACAATAGAAGGGTAAGGAATGCTTTGAAATAATGAAAATACTATGGTATGCAAATATCGTGTAAGGGATTTAGGAGATAGATACTGTAGATCTGGTTTTAGGGCTGATCTGAACTCAAGTCCGGCTGATCTAGTTCAATAATTTCATAAAAATCTTAGGACCTAATTCTGGTGGAGACTGTCAAGTGGAACCCCTGGGAGCTTAAGGCTTTTGTAGATAGTGTGAAGTTATGTAGAGCCTTGTACTAATTGCAATTAGATAACCTAGAGAGGCTATTTCAAAGTCTTGGTTTTATGCTTACCTAGAAATTTATATTGCCTTTTTTCACAGTTTAGTAGTGAAATAAAGCATATCTAAGGTTTTTTTGTTTGATTTAGGGAAATGGTTATCAGTTGGTAGAGAATATTGCATTTGTTTTTATTCTGAAAGAATAAATTGGTAAGGTTAGCTTCTTTTTTTTTTTTTTTTTTGCAAGTAGTAACAAATCTTGAGAGCATTCTTCTGATCAGTATATTATACTTTTGGAAAAGACTTTCTCATTATAGTGAGGTGTGTTCATATTTTATAAACCTAGCCCTGATCATGTGAGAGGATATAAATTTATCTTAAATATTATTAAATTAAACATTATTAAATACATAATCAAAGGTTCACACAGTGATTCATGAACTACACTATTTTATTTAGAATCGAAATAATCAGATGTTTCTGCATAAAGTTTTATGAAGCAGGGATAAGGGATCTTTCTTTTCTCCCCAAAGCTCCATATTGTAACAAAGAATAAAGCCCAGAGAAATTATGTACAAACTCACAGAACTCATTATTGTCTCTGCTTCCAGATGTGCTGGAGGTACTGTGCAAGCGGAATGAGGGAGCTCTGTGAGCGGACCAGAGCCGTGGGAGATGCTCGGAGCGGGGTTTGCTGTAGCATGCTGGAGCTCCTACCCCGCGCTCCTCTCGCTCACCTTTCGTACGATGTTCTTTTCTCCCCTGCTCATTATCTTGATTAGTGATATCACCATTGTTTCATAAAATTCATTTAGGAATTGAGTGATCTTAATTAGAAAAGATTTCATGTATCAAATTTTCAAAACTTTAAAACATTTGTTTTATCCATCCATTCAGCAGTGCTAGAAATCGTGATGTCATCTTTAATCTTTTACCCTCCACCTCTAAGTGTTTCTTGGATTCTGCCTCTGAACTATTTCACAGACCTATCGCCCTTTCCCTTCAGGCGGCCTTGCCCGGTTTCCAGTGTCTTCATATCCCGATTGGACGGTCACTACCCTCCTAAAGGCTCCTCCTACTCTCTCTGTGAAAATTGGTTCCTTTATATAGGGTCCATAAAGTTGGAAGGGAAGACATTATATCTTCATTTTCACTAATTGCTAACTGAAAATCACTATTTTCTTCATTATGATAAGGAAACAATCCACAGTAATGTTAGCAGTGCTTGTGACTTGGTCGCCGATGGAGAGCACATAGGTTTTCGTATCATGTTTCAGTTGTTGAAGGTAACTTGAGCATAATCTATGCCCATGATACTTGGGCATACTTTGAAATTATAGTAGTGTTATATGTTCTGCTGCATCTTCTTATTTAATGTATTAACAAGGCACATAAATTATCTCACAGTTTTAAAATAATTTGATTACTATATGTCCATGTATTGGCTTTGTAATCCTATCTTATTTCATGCATTTAAAATATTCTGTAATAAAAATATTCTAAAATTAGATAATGGTAATAGTTGCACATCTTTGTGAAAGACTAAAAAACACTGAACTGTACATTTTAAAAGGGTGCATTTTATGTGTGTGAATTATAGTTCAATAAAGCTGTTACAAAAATACTATTCTGATAATGGGTCCATAGGCTTTATAAGACTCTGTATCTGTGGCACCTAAAGGATTGCAAACCCCGTCTCTTTGCCTGGAAATATATCCCCCACCCCCAATTACTACCTAGAAAACTAGATATTTTTCCAAAACCCAGGTCAAGCATTCCCTTAATAAAACCTCTTCCATCTTCTCTGGGCAGCTCTTTTTGTGTTTTCTTAGGGACGATTACGTATATCTCTTATACTTTAACCCACTGTTTGTTATTAACTAGGTTGATAGTCCCTTAAGTGTTGGGATCCTGATATGATATGTCTGTGTGTCCCTAGCCCCTGGTATAAAGCCTGTCACATATAGATGGTCTACTGACGAGGGAGTGAACAACGAGGCGTTCATGTAGCATAGGAAATACTTTAGGACTCAAACACTGCTGAGGGAGGGAAACAAGAACCGTTTGTTTTTTCCTACTGAAATTGGCTAATAGTCTCTGCTTTCTAAAAAGTACTTAAGTGTTTTTTGCTAAGATCTTACTTTGGTCAACAATCAGTCATATTCAAACATATCTCCCTTTCCTTCAGGGAAATTAAAATTTAATCAACAAAAGAAGAAAATTAAAAACAATACATTTTAATTAGCAAAAGTCATCAATCTGTACATTTAAAATGTGTGAATTTTATTGTATGTAAAGTATATCTCAATGGCCCTGGCTGGGAAGCTTAGTTGGTTAGCGCATCATCCCAATGTGGGTCCAATCCCTGGTCAGGGCGTGGAAAAAAAAGATTGTAAGTATATCTCAATAAAAAACTAGAAAAAAAATTGAGACAGGAAAGAGAAAAACATCTAAATGGCATAATAACTGATGAATTAAATAACTGATATAACAGTCAAGAGAAATATTACAGTGTAGCACATACTCAAATGCCACGTGAGAGTTAGAGATAAAAGGAGAGATCCCCTGGAGCCTGAAGCGGTCGTTACTACTGTGTGCAGTATTTGGGTAGGTGGAGAGGACAGCATTGCAGCCAGTGAAAGTGGTGAGGACAGAGGCTGAGAAGTGGGAAAGAAAAAGGCATGTTCAGGGAAAGTCAGGTGACTTTTGTAGCATTTCAGATGTGACGTGCTAAGCCTGAAGAATGGCAGTGGATGGAATAGTTGGGGAAGACATGATCGTCAGGGATTAGAGAACCAATTGGATAGAACTTAATGGAGGAGTCAAAAGTAACTGAAGTGTTGGTCTCGCTTAATCAGTAAAAAGATGATTAATAACAAAATAGAAAAATGAGGGAACAGGGCAAGTTTTTTGGAGATAGTAAATAGTTCTGTTTCTGTTGATTGAAAATATCAAGCTTATTTTTACATCTGAGCTGAGTCAAGAATAAACTACATGCTTTGTAGAAACGAAATCATGTTTTATGTTTAATCACACTTACAAAATATAATGTTGCCATCTTTTGTATTGTGTGTTGTTTTTTCTTTTAGATTCCAGCATAGTTAGTGCTGTTGTACTTCAAGACTTACTGGCCTATGTATCTTCAAAACATTCCTATCTTGGAGATCTTCCCCTGAGGCAGCCTCAGAAAATGAGCAGTGTGGAATTTGTGGACCTGGAGCAGCTCCAGCCTGACGTGTTAGTCCATGCAGTACTGAGAGTTGTTAACATCACTGTACTGACAGGTAATCATTTGGGGCACCTCCTTAATTTTAGATCCTAAAGTAAGATACAAGACCCTCTCGATGTACAATTTGGTTATCGTTATATATTTATCATTAGACATTATAACAAATAGTCCTTTCTCTTTTCCAGAGGCAGTATATAGTTATAGAGGACAGACACAAAGGAAAGTTTTGTTAACGGTGGAACAGGCCCAAGGTCAACATTTCGTGCTTGTACTGTGGGGTCGTGGAGCAGCCTGGTACCCTCAGCTTCAAAGGAAAAAGGGTAAATACAACAAAAACCTTTTAACCTATTTATAGTTAGGTAAGTGGTTAATGTTTATGAGCGTAGGACGAAGAGAATCTTAAGAGATTAGATTACATTTGAAATATAAGAGATCATGATTAAATATTCTTCTATTATAATTTCATACCTCCTGTAAGCAAATCAGTAATCTAAAAAGTCTTCTATAATTAATGGTGGTAAAATAAAAACTTCCATTTATTCCCAGGTATACTACTTTACCATTTTAGTGAAGATCCTATCTCCTTCAGATAATGTTCTTTAAAATTCTAATTCTGGAGAAGCTTCTACAGTTTGTATTCAGCCAAAGTACTCTGCTAAGGAAACTCTGTGGTTATAAGGCAGATATTAAGAGGCTTGCATTAACTCTTTCAAGTCACAATGTTACTGTTTAATAAATGACTGTCTTCCAGGTTTTTATTCCATTTATTTTAAATGTATGGACTATTAGCTGTCCATAGAATGTTTATGTTTAAAATATGATCCATGATTACATTTTATTTTACAGCATAAATTAATAATTTATCATGTATTGAATTATGTGGAATTGATGTTTCAATAGAATAGTATATTTTCCTTTTGATATTATGACATCCTTTAGTTGTAACAGTCAAAGATATAATTAGTGGCTCATGAGTTATTTTATCCTGCTAAATTAATTCAGAGATTAAGTGTGTGATCCATTCTTTTTTACCCAAATGTCTCTTCCCAAACTTTTACCTACAAAATAGTTACCTGAAGATCTGATTTTTCACACTGTCTCTCTTAATCATTAATAGCCTGTGACTGACATTTGAGATAAGTCTGACTTTTGACTTTTATGTTAGGATCAAACAGTGACAAATATTTGTTTGGTTGAGAAATCGGACAAACATGTCTATGATAGACTCACTGTCAGTACTGACCACTGCTTCTTCACCCGAGCATGAGTCCAGTGCATGCTGATCAGAATGTAGGTCAGAGGTGTGCTTCCAGCTCTAACGAAGCTCTAGCAAAGCAGATTGCTCCATGCTTGATAGGAATATGCTTTAAAAATGAATAGCTATTTGGTTAATAGAAGAGAAATTACAGTTTTCTCTAGATAATTCTATGGTATTTAGGTTAATATTGAAAATGTGTGAATCCAGGTGCTGAGATATGGTGGTTCTTTTTCCTTCATTTGGCATTCTTTATTTATAACCATGATTTTTAAGTTTTGATATCCACTTCAAAACCTCAAGATACTTTTAAAAATGGGATGGTACCAATTTTGAGTGGTCATTTAAGTAAGTGATTTCTACTTTCAGAATTTGTTAATATTCTATTTAATTATTGTTTCTTGAAGCTTTCTCTATTAACCTTTCTTTATATTGGGCACTTGTTTAACTTGTTCCCAAGGATAAAAAACTACTCACATTTAGGTGATATAATCAGAAATGATTATATTGAATCACTGTTGATTCAGTCATTATTGAATATTGGTGATAGGAGAGTTGATGTTTTGGGGAGGAATAAGAAATTCCAAGTTCACGTTTGGTATGCCTCATATGTAGCAAGCATTGGTCCCAGTGAGGGTGGACTGGGGACCTAAATTACACTTCTTAAGAATACTTGAATAGATATAAAGTAAGCTATTCAGAACTAAATGTCATTTCAATATAATATCCTCCTGAAATTATTTAATAGAAGTCTAATATTTAAAAAGTAACATTATAATAAAGTACTCTCATGACATTACTAATTAAGCACAGAGTAAATGCAAATAATCCTAATATTTGTGGTTATACTTAATGCAAAATCATAGTTATGTCTTCATTGAGGTTTGAAACCCTTTCACACCCTTTTAAAAATTTAAATTATTTTTTATTTTCAATTATAGTTTACATACAATATTATATTAGTTTCAGGTGTACACCCCAGTGATTAGATATTATATAACTTACTAAGTGATCATCTCAATAAATCTAGTACCCACCTGACACCATACATAGTTATTTTAGAATATTATTGACTATATTCCCTATGCTGTACTTTTCATCCCTATAGCTGTTATGTAACAACAAATTTATACTTCTTTTTATTTCGTTTTGTCTTTTAAAAATTTTTTATTTTATTTTTTTCACCACCATTTATGGCCCCTATACCCTCTTCCACCACCACACCCTCTTCCCTCTGACCCCTGCCTCCCGTAATCACCACACTGTTGTCCGTGTCCATGAGTTCTGTCTCTTTTTTTTTCTTTTCTGCTCAGTCCCTCCACCCCAACAAATTTGTACTTCTCAATCCCCTCACCTTTTTCACCCATCCTCCCTCCCCTACTCCCATCTGGCAACCGTAAACTGTTCTCTGTATCGATGAGTCTGTTTCTCTTCTGCTTGTTTGTTTATTTTGTTTTTTCGATTTATTCGTTGATATGTATTTATTGCCATTTTATTATTCATATATTTTTTAAACAATACAATTTATTTACTTTATTGATTTTTAGAGAGAGAGAGGAGAAGAGGAGGAGAGAGACAGAGACAGAGAGAACTACCAATTTTGTTGTTCCACATATATGCATTTATTGGTTGCTTCTTGTATGTGCCATGACAGGAGATTGAACCTGCGACCTTGGCATATGCGGAGGATGCTAACTGAGCTACCTGGCCAGGACTTATTCATATTTTTTATCTTTCCCCCCCACTTCTTTTTCTTAAAGAAGATCCTTTAACATAACTCTGGTTTGGTGGTGATGAACTCCTTTAGCTTTTCTTGTCTGGGAAGTTCTTTATATATCCTTTGAGTCTAAATAATAGCTTTGCTGGGTATAGTAATTTTGGTTGTTGGTCCTTGCTTTTCATCACTTTGTATATTTCATGCCAATCCCTCTGGCCTGCAAAGTTTCTGTTGAGAAATCATCTGACAGTCTTATGGGAGTTCTCTTGTAGGTAACTAACTGCTTTTCTCTTGCTGCTTTTAAGATTCTCTATTTGTCTTTAACCTTTGGCATTTTAATTATGATGTGTCTTGGTGTGGGCCTCTTTGGGTTCATCTTGTTTGGGACTTCCTGTGCTTCCTGGACTTGTATGTCTCTTTCCTTCACCAGGTTAGGGAAGTTTTCTGTCATTATTTTTTCAAATAGGTTTTCAATTTCTTGCTCTCTCTCCTCCTGGCACCCTTGATGCAAATGTTGGTATGCTTGAAGTTGTCTCAGAGGCTCCCTACACTATCCTTAATTTTTGGATTATTTTTTCTTTTTGCTGTTCTGATTGGGTGTTTTTTTGCTTCCTTATATGCCAAATCGCTGATTTGATTCTCAGTTTCGTCTACTGTTGATTCCCTGTAAATTATTGTTCATTTCAGTTATTGTATCCTTCATTTCTGACTGGTGTTTTTTTATGGTTTCCATGTCCTTTTTTATGCTTTTGAAGTTCTATCTAAGTTCATCTACTCTTCCCCTAAGTTCGTTGAGCATGCTTATAACCATTGTTTTGAGCTCTGCATCTAGTAGATTGCTTCTCTCCATTTTGTTTAGTTCTTTCTGTGGAGTTTTGTTCTTTTCTTTCATTTGGAACATGTTTCTTTGTCTCCTCATTTTGGCAGCCTCCCTGTGTTTGCTTCTATGTAGCAGGTGGAGCTGCTATGTCTCCCAGGCTTGGTAGAGTGATCTAATGTGGTAGGTGTCCTGTAGGGTCCAGTGGCACAGTCTCCCTGTTCACCAGAGCTGGGCACTCCAGGTGTGCCCCCACCCTCATTTGGGTGTGAATACCCTCCTGTTGTAGTTGAGCCTTGATTGCTGTTGATTGGCATTGCAATGGAAGGGATTTACCCCCATGCTAATTGGCTGTAAGGATTGGCTGTGACCACCATGGAGGATCACCTGTACCGGGGCCCACCCTACAGAACAGGACTTAGTTCAGTGGGCTTTGGTGCCCTAATCTGCCCCTTGAGTGTGTCAACTTGTGGAGGTGGGTGGGTGGTGGTGCTTCAACATAGTCTGAGGCTGTCCACCAGGTGTGCTGGCCCTGGGGCCTCTCAGTAGGGGCAGGCCAAAGTCAGCTCTGCCTGTGTTCTTCTTGGGGCTGCCCAGCATGAGCTACAACGTGATCTGCAGATGGCTGCCACTTGTGCTGGGCTTGGAGGTGCCCAGGAGAAGGCAAGCTGTGAACTAAGTCCAGCTGCTGCTAGTGCCGGGCCTGGGGCCACTTAGTGAGAGATACAGAGCACATCGAGGCCAGATTGGGCTTGTTTGAGAGATTTGGGAAAGTCTGAAGCCTGAGCCAAGACTTTTATGGAAAAGGCACTGGAAACAGCTTGGGTGAGCCCACAAGTTGGGTGGGGTGGGGCCTTAGGGAATCACCAGGGTGGAGCAAACAGTATGAGCCAGGTTGATAGAGACTCAGATATAGTGGCCACCTGCCAGCTCTGTGAGGGGAGGGCTCATCAACAACAGTGGCCTCTGCCAGCACTTCTGGGAGAAAGCTGCCCCCCAGCTCTTGTCCTGATACCAGACAACTCAGTTCCTCCCATATGTCTCTGGTGCCTTTTGAGCTGCTGCCCTAGTGCTGGAGCTCAGAGGAAGTGAGTCTGAGTAAGTATGTGTGTGGACCCTCTAAGATGAACTGCCTGGGACTCCAGCAGCCTCTGTCTCACTGAGCCTCAATCCCTGCTGATTTTCACAGCCAGAAGTTATGGGGGTTTTCCTTCCTGGCTGGGCTGGGGTGCCTGGTGTGGGGCTGGGACCCCTTGCTTTTCAGCCCTGACCTCCACTGCTGAGATATCCCTCCTGATTTTTATCATCCACTTGTGAGTAGGGGGCCATCTCTTTTCACATCTCCACCTCTCCTACCAGGGTCTCCACTTCTCCTACCAGGGATGATGTGACTTCTTTATAACCTTAGTTGTACCACCTCCATTCAGCTAGATTTCAGGTGGTTGTGAATGATAGTGGTTCTGTAGTTTAGTTGTAATTTTGATGTGATTGTGGGAGGAGGTGAGTCCCCTTTTTACCTACACTGCCACCTTGACCAGAATTCTGATTCTGGCTCTTTTTCCCCATTCACACCCCTAATTAATGATTCAAGTATAGAAATGTATCACAAATTTCCTCATTACCATGTCCCCTCAGACTTACTAGACTAACCTGCGTGTGACTCCTTTCTGTTACTTGAACATGCCAATCCTTTTTCTGCTTCAGTATCTTGAATTTATGTTTCCTCTGCCTAGAGTGCTTTTTCCTGCAGCTTGCCCCCATGCGTGGCTCCTTCCTCTCCCAGCTCCAATTTCATCTCTGGAGGGAGGCCTCCCACAGGTGTATACATGACTACTCTCCATCAGATCACTCTTTGTATTCCATTTGTGCCATTTAACACAATTGGGATTATCTAGCCTATTGGTTGGCTTGGTAATTAACTAATTTTCTCAGTAGATTGTAAATTCTATGAATAGCTTATTCACCATTGTATCATCATTACACAGCACTATGCCTGCCCTAGTAAATGTTTGTTTTCTTTGTGGATGAATGAATGAAGAATAAAATACAGATCAGGCAACCTTTCAAACCTGTCTTTAAGGAGCAAGAGACTCAAGTTTGAGGAGGACATAACTTTGCTTGTTTCAAGTAATAGAAAAAAATTATAAAGTTAAATGTGCGTGCACATGGAAGTTTTGCAATCCATGGTGCATGTTAAGAATTGTATTTAAACTTGGGCACTGAGAGCTTGTAGTTAGAGCTAGAACTCTAGCCATAGCCAGTTTGGCTCAGTGATTAGAGCATTGGCCCGTGGACTGAAGGGTACTGGGTTCGATTCTGGTCAGTGGCCATGCATAAAGATGTAGCTAAAAATCTGTTTATCATGGTACTATTTATAATAGTGAAAAGTAAAAAACAATCAACATGCCCCAAAATGGAGGATTGCTCTAATGCTTTTTAAGACTTTGGTCTACCTGTGTAATGGCATGTTATGAAGATTTTAAAATAATGTGGAATAATACTTAATGGCATGTAAAAATATATTTGACATATTAAGTAAAAATGAAACAAATTGAAACAAATGTTAAATTTATTGTGAGGTGTTGAGATTATGGCTACTATTTTTTTTACTTACTTTTAGCTTATCTGTGTATTTTGTAGTAAGACAAGAAAGCTATTTTAAAAATAGTGATTGGTTTTTTTCAATCCTCACCTGAGGATATTTTTTCCATTGCTTTTCAGAGAGAGTGGAAGGGAGAGAGAAAACATTGATATGAGAGAGACACATTGATTGGTTGCCTCTTGCACCCCCCCCCCCAACTGGGGCGGGGATTGAGCCTGCATCTGAGACACGTCCCCTTGACCAGAATCGAACCCGCAACCCTTCAGTCTGCAGGCCAGTGCTCTAACCACTGAGTCAGACCAGCTTGGGCAATAGTGATTGGCTTTAAGCAGCAACTCAGAATATATATGCTTCAGTTCTTTCTTTTTTTTTGCTTTAGTTCTTTCTAATTATGCAATATTTATACAGATATACTGACTTGTTTTAAAATTCTCTGACAAAAAAACACTGTCAAATGAAAAACACTAAGAAAGTAGGTGGGGGCATGTGAATTAGTTGTTTACCTGAAGTAAATGGTAAACTGAAAAGACAGCTGTTATTATTGAAAACTTATTGCTAAGAGACCTCTTTTTGTTTTATTATAGTTTTATAGTTGAATTTATTAATATAAAATAAGCTTATTTGGCAAGAAGGTCTATGCTACTGCGGTTTTAAGAATTAGAATTTTTATGGAGGAAATTAAAAATAGGTACAACTATATTTTGTTCTGGGGAAAAAACGAAAACTTTATATAAGAAAACTAAGGTGCTGAAAATCAGTGAGAGATGTTGATTATGGCAGACATGTATCCATTTCTATGTCCTTATTATTTAAAAAAATCTTTGCCTATAGATATCAAAATGGAAATTTGCAGCTCTGAAAAGCAGTTGGTTAGGAGCCTAAGCTATCTTTAGAAAAAATTTTTATTAAAATTATCTCTACCATCCTTACCCTCTTGCCTTAATACATTCATGTTGTGTCTCTTTATACCCAAATTCCTTAGTGTGATAAATGTTGTATTTAACTGATGAGATCAGGTCAATCTGTATAGTCTGACTCTGAGTCTAGATTATTTCCTTTTGGATAACTTTTTGTTTTTATTTGTTTGTTTAAGGTTATATTTGGGAATTTAAATATCTTTTTGTTCAGCGCAATTACATCCAAGAAAACCTAGAGTTGCATACAACGCCATGGTCATCCTGCGAATGCCTGTTTGATGATGATATAAGGGCTGTTACATTTAAAACAAAATTTCAAAGCAGCATGCCCTCTTTTGTGAAGATGTCAGATTTAGCAACACACCTGGCGGATAAGTGTTCAGGTAAGGTCTTTACATACATAAGATATTGCTAGTTTTAATACAAGCAAAGAAGCTACCATTTGTGGTAAAATATGTAAGTATAAGTGAAATATAGATCTTTGTACATATCTGAACCAGATATTGGCACTATCTTAGCTCTTTGCCTACAATCTTTTGAGGTTAATTTGTAATTATTAGGGATCACAAGGTGGGAACATGAATCTAGTTTCTTACTCTACATTGGCTGAATGCCGGATTAAAATTTTACAAGTTGTGTTAATTCACATAGGTATGTATATATGTTTTATAAGATATAATTATGGACATTAGTATTATTACATCATAAAACTAAGCTAAGGGGAATACAAGTAGAAAACAAAAATAATACCTCTCAAAAAAACAACTTTTAATGGAATACAGAAATTTATTCTCAGAAAACTCTATACACTCTGTTCTGCATTGAAATACTTATTAACACTAATAGTTAATTTAAAATTAATATTTTTGGAAGATAAACACACGTGATAGAAAATTTACAAGTTTTTGTGCTGTTTAACTTTTATACAACTCTCAAAATAGAAAGTAGGTTGCTTATGGCCACAGAAGACTCTAGATTTATACTAACTGGTGAAATCTTCGGTAATGTTGTAGTGTACATAAGTTCCTAAAACAGTTTCATATTCGTGTGCCCCTCCTGTTCCGTCCCACCCCCCAAATCCCCACAAGCTTATGGAGCTGTTGACTGCAGAAAGGAATGCCATAGGCAGTTGAGGAGCTGCATTTAATTTGGTGTCATGGAGAAGTCAACTCTCTTATCTACTGCTTACATAAAACAGTTACCTGCTGGGATTGAAGACTTAGAATTAAATTTTAAAATAAAAAATCAACAAAATAGGTGGTCACAACTCTGATAATTAATGGTACCAAGGATATAGATATCCTCACCAGTTTGGGGGATGAGGCTGGCAATTGGGAGTATTCTTTTAAACCTTGGAATTACGCTCCCTACTGGGAAACCATGCAAAAATTCTGCACTGTTAAAAATCAGTCCCTGGTAGGCTGTGTTCAGAGAGGCTCTTTTAGCCATTTTCATTCTCTTCAGGTTCAACTATGAGGGCTGAATTCATAGTTTCTATCATTGTTTATGTGTTTTTAAGACAGAAATGGGGAGAGCACATGGAAGTACAAGCACATTTTTCCTAACCTATTTCATAGTTAAATCAAAGGAGGAAGAAAGGGGGATCAACATGGGAGAATTTCCTAAGACAGTTTGCTTGTTTTACAAAGCTTAACAAAAGCCAGAGAGGGATGAAGTTGTGCCCGCCTCCTTGTAAAGACACGAAGATGCTTACTCCACATCACATCCCGCCATCAGCAGAGTGCCAGTGCCCAGCAGGCTGTAATCCCCTTGAAAGCACAATCCACATTCATAATGAACTTTAAATTTTTTAAAGAGGTGTATAAATTTATAAAATGTTAGGAGTTTGTTAACATTCTCCTCCCCCAAAATTTTATTGCTTGATTTTAGAGAGAGGGGGGAGAGACAGAGAGAGAGACTTGTTGTTCCCCTTATTTATGCATTCATAGGTTATTCTTGTATGTGCCTTGACCGGGATCAAAGCTACAATCTTGGAGCATTGGGAAGAGACCCTAACCAACTGAGCTACCTAGCCAGGGCTCTTCTAAAATTATTAAATTCTTTCATTAAATAGTTTCTTAGTGATTCCACATGTGTGTGGAAAGGTATGCTGTGGAGCCTACCTGCTCTGCTTTATTAGATGTGTAGACCACTACACACTCTTGTAATTCATGTAAAGGATATGTGACATTATTGGAATAGATGGTCAAACAGTCTTTAGGCACTAAAAGACTAAAGCAAAGTGAAGGACTTAGGAACTGGAAAGTCGCCATTAATAGCACTCTCAAAGAATTAACCAGAAAAGAGACTAGAACAGCGAAATGGTGTTGACATAGAGTATATTACCTTTTAAAAGGATGAAGGAGAAAAAAGCTTTTTAAAAGCTTTAAAAAGGCTTTAAACTACCTGGCCCGTGTGGCTCAGTGGTTGAGCGTCAACCTATGAACCAGGAGGTTGTGGTTTGATTCCCAGTCTGGGCATGTGCCTGGATTTTGGACTCGATCCCCAGTAGGAGGCAGCCGATCAATGACTCTCATCATTGATGTTTCTATCTCTCTCTCCCTCTCCATTCCTCTCTGAAATCAATAAAGACATATTAAAAAAAAAAAAGAATTACATGTTTTTTAAAAAAAGGCTTTAAACTGAATATGGAGAAGAAGGGAGAAGAATGCTCTGATAAACTCCAAGACCTCACTAGTATACAGTAAGGCAAAGATAAATTAGATAAAAGAATGTCTGGCAGATAATAGAAACTTGGATATTTTTGTGTTTTGTTTTGTTTTTTAGTATTTTTTTAACAGGTGAACGCATGAGCCAGTGAGTAGTGAATGAGCTGCTTGAGGTTCCTGATGAGTCACATAGTAAATGAGGACTCTCAGTGCTCACATGGCTATATAACTAAAACCCAGAGTATGGCTGATGATGGGCAGGGAATTGAAAAAGGAGATAAGTGAGCAGTATATTATTTTTGGACAAAATAGAGAATAGAAGAATAACTTACTTTCTATTTGGCTTTTGACAATGATCAGTTAAAAAGACAGAAGAGCCCAGCCGGGCACGGCTCAGCGGTTGAGCTGTGACCTAGGGCCAGTTTGATTCCCCCTCGGGGCACATGCCCGGGTTGCTGGCTTGATCCCCAGTTGGGGGCCTGCAGGAGGCAGCTGATCAATGACTCTGCCATCATTGATGTTTCTTTCTCTCTCCCCCCTTCCTCTCTATCTGAAATCAATAAAGATATATTTAAAAGAAAAAAAAAATAAGAGAGGGTAGGCAGAGAGGATATATTAGCTAGTTTTGAGTGTTTGAAAGGATTTTTTCTAAGAGAGATCAAACTTATTTTGCATGATTCCAGAGGGCAGGGAGAAAGAAAATATCCAATTCTTCAGCCAAATTAGCCAAATAAATCTTCATTCTAAGTTGCAAGCAGATCATTCCTTATATTCTAGGGTCAAGACTGAAGCCATACAGGAACAAGACAGGGTTGCCCTCTTTCACCATTTTTATTCAGTAGAGTACTGGAAGTACTAGCCACAGTGATCAGACAAGAAGAAAAAATAAAAGGCACCCAAATTGGAAAGGAGGAAGTAAAACTCATTCGCAGATGACATGATATTGTACATAGGAAATCATAAAGACTCTACTAAAAAACTACTAGATTTAATAAATGATTTTGGCAATGTAGCAGGATACAAAATTAACACCCAGATATTGATGGCATTTTTGTACACTAATGTACTCTCAGAAAGAGAAACTAAAAAAAGTCCCATTTACCATGGCAACAAAAAAATTAAGATACTTAGGAATAAATTTAACCAAGGATGTAAAACACCTGTACTTGGAAAACTACAGGACATTGAAAAAAGAGATAGAGGAAGATATATAACCAAGTGGAAGAACATACCGTGTTCATGAATTGGTAGAACTCATCATTAAAATGTCCATACTACCCCAAAAATCTAGAGATTCAATGCAATCCCTATTAAAATACCAATGGCATATTTCACAGATCTAGAACAAACACACCAAAAATTTATATGGGAACCAAAAAAGACCCCAAATAGCCACAGCAATCTTGAGAAAGAACAAAGTTGGCGGGATCACAATACCAGATATCGAGCTATATACTACAAAGCCACTGTAATCAAAACAACCTGGTACTGGCACAAGAACAGGCATATAGATCAATGGAACAGAACAGAGAACCCAGAAATGGTCCCAAGCCATTATACTCAATTAATATTGACAAAGGAGGCAAGAGCATACAATGGAGTACAGACAGTCTCTTCAATAAATAGTGTTGGGATAATTAGACAGGTACATGCAAAAAAATTAAGAAAAAGAAATTAGATGACCAAACTTATACCATACACAAGAATAAATTCGAAATGGATATATGACTTAAATATAAGTCCTGAAACCACAAAAATCCTAGAAGAAAATGTAGGCAGCAAATTATCAGACATTTCATGTAGCAAAATTTTCACTGATACATTGCCTAGGGCAAGAGAAACAAAGGAAAAACGTGAACAAATGGGACTACATCTGCACAGCAAAAGAAATCAGCATCAAAATGAAAAGGGAACCTACTGCACAGGAGAACATATTTGCCAGTGATACATCTGATAAGGAGTTAATTTCCAAAATATGTAAAGTACTCATGCATCTCCACAAAAGGAAGACAAACAATCCAATTAAAAAATGGACAGAGGACCTAAATAGACACTTCTCCAAAGGGGACATACAGATGGCCAAGAGACGTATGAAAAAAATGCTCAACATCATTAATCAGAAAGATGCAAATTGAAATGACAATGAGGTACCACCTCGCACCTGCCAGGACGGCTGCAATCAATAAATCAACAAACAGCAAGTCCTGGTGAGGATGTGGAGAAAAGGGAGCCCTAGTGTACTGCTGGTAGGAATGTAGACTAGTGCAGCCACTATGGAAAAAAGCATGGAATGTCCTCAGAAAATTAAAAATGGATCTGCCATTTCACTCAGTGATCCTATTTCTTGGAATATATCCTAAGAATCCTGAAACACCAATCAGAAAGAATTTATGCACCGCTATGTTCATAGCAGCGTTATTTACAATAGTCAAGATGTGGAAACAGCCCAAGTGCCCATCAGTAGCTGAGTGGATAAAAAAGCTGTGGGACATTTACACCATGGAATACTATGCGTCTGTGAAAAAGAAGGGTCCCTTACTGTTTGAAAGAACATGGGAGGGACCTGGAGAGTATTATGCTAAGTGAAATAAGCCAGTCAGAGAAAGACAAATATCTTGCTTATAAGTGGAATCTATTGAACAAACTAAACTCACAAATAAAATAGAACCAGACACATGGAAGCATGGAACAGACAGGATTCTCAGAGGGAAGGGGGAGGGTCAAGAAGAGATTAACCAAAGAACTTAGATGCATATATGCATAACCCATGGACACAGACAATAATGCAGTAAAGGCCTGGGGAGGGGGTGGTAGTGGGAGGAAGGGGTCAATGGGGGGGAGGAAGGGGGACATCTGTAATACTTCCAACAATAAAGATAAATTACAAAAAATACTGAAGCCATAAGTGAGTGAGATTATCTAGGAAAAGTGTGAGGAAGAGAAGAAAGCTGAGGAACGAGATCTTGAGTGTATCCTTTACAGTAAGTAACTGTAAATCAACTACATAATTAACCATGTTTGTAAATTATAATTTTGTCTTATAACAGTTTTTGTTTGTTTTTTGTAGGTGTGATTCTAATCAAAGCTCAGATTTTAGAGCTGGTGTTTCATGTTACAGCAGCCCAGCAAATAGTTATAAATGCTCACAGTTCTCTGAAGAGCATTTTCTCCTCTCTCCCCAACATCACGTATACTGGCTGCGCAAAATGTGCAGTGAAACTAGACACAGATGAGAACAAGATCTACAAACAGTGTTTTAGTTGCTTGCCATGTACTATGAAGAAACTGTACTACAGGTAAGGCAACTAAGCACGCCAATCCGATGGAAGACATTTATTTTTAGAGGGGTAGAAATGACCAAGAAATTACATTTATCAACTCTTACTTTCTAAGAGAACTAATTAGAGCTAATACAAGAGAACAAAATTTCCCGAGTGATAAATAGTATTTACGAAAGCAAAAACTGCTCAGTTAATCATAGCAGGATTTCTAAACGCAGTAACTGGGAGATTTTACTGTCTTGAAGAAGCTGAACTGCAGAAAGTTCTTACTTGGTTCACACTTTTAACCAAGATCTAAATGAAGAAATTCAGTCACCCACCTTAACAAATAATTGGAATTTAAAGGTTAAAAGTATTTTATGATCTAACCTTTGAGTTGTGGAATCTCGTGAGGCGTTTACTTTCTGTACTTCAGTTTTCACAACTTCACATTAGAAAATAAGGATCCCAAGTGTCCTGGTAAAATGGCTAACAGCTCGGTGAAAAACACATTGTTTTTCCGTTAATGAAAGTTCAGATTCTAGGACAGTCTCTTTTTACCTTACAAATCACATGCCTTTACAAAGCAGCGCTCGGGGTCCAGGTTAGAACACCGTCATCCCCTCTCCCCAACAGGCCCCAAGCTCATTAGCAGTCACTCCTCATTCCCCCTTCCGCCCGATCAGCTTTTGGATTGTTCCCCGATCAGCTTTTGGATTGTTCCCACTTTGGGCTGTTATAAATAACACTGATATGAACATTCACGTACAAATTATTGTGTGAATATATGTTTTCATTTCTCTTGGGTATATACTCAGGAGTAGAATTGCTGGATCATATGTAACTCTATGTTTAACCTTTTGAGAAACTGCCAAACTGTTTTTCAGAGCTACTGCAGCTTCATGTTCTCACCGGCAATGTACGAGGGTTACAGTTTCTCCCCATCCATGTCAGCACTTGTTATCTGTTTTTCTTTTTGTTGCATGTGCTTTTGGTTGGTATATCTAAGAAAGGTATCATTTCTAAACCAAGATGATAGAGATTTACTCCTATATTTTCTTCTAAGAATTCTATAGTTTTAACTCTTACATTTAGGTGCATGATTTATTTTAAATTTTGTGGATGGTGTAAGGAAGGGGTCCAACTTCATTCTTTTGCATGTGAATATCCAGTTGTCCCAGTATTATTTGTTGAAAAGACTATTCTATCCCCATTGAATCATCTTGGATCATTGTCAGAAAGCTTATTATCTTTCTATCCCACTAAACTCTTAAGTTCTTCAAGTGAAGGAACCAGATCTGTCTTGTTCACTAGTCTATTCTGTCAATCCATTTTGACTAAGAACTGCCAGGCACAAAAGGTTTATTTGGGGATCTTTTAGGAACTGCATATTTGGAGACACAAATTGGGGTAGAAAACCAAATGTGTTCCAAGAGGGGAAAGAAAGGGAGAGTTTATAAAGACAGGAAAAGGGAGCTTCCAAAGGGATTATACAGTTCTTTGAAAGCTGTGGTTGACTCTGGCAAGCAAAATTACACTGTGCTATTTGTTATTAATTGCATATGTCTTTTGCTGGGTGAACAGTTTATTTCTTAATAGTTTAACGATACAGGACCACTTCTAGGAACTGTCGTGATGTAGCTATTTGTGCTTTAGTCCAGTTTAGAAGTTCAGTTTCACATAGAGGGGCTGTGCTAGCTCAGCCTCCTCGAGGTCTCCAGGCTGCATCTTAGATTGCCCACTTCACAGCATCAGTTCCATTTTGCTGTTTTTATTTTACAATACCCACTGCTTAGCATAGTTTATGGTACATAGTAGATATTGAATACATATTTTTTGAAATAAAGAATGGAGTAAGAGAGAGAGCCTGCGACAAGATTATAGCATGAAAAAGAAGAAAAGACCTAGAATAGTCATGCGGATAAAGGGGTAAGTAGGTTTTTGGAGGAGAAATCAGTAGCATTGTTTGAGCTGTTACACTAAGTTCCCCTATATTCATAGCCTGTTTCTAAATTTTGTTCTCAATTTATTTCTTAAAAATTAATTTATTTTAAATTTTGTTTATTAATTGTATTTATTTTAAAAAGACCTAATACATACCATGGTAAAAATGCAAACTACAGAGGAAGGAGTGAAACAAATAATAAAGGTCATCTTCCGTATCCCCCCCCCTCACGTCAGTGCCACTTCCGTACCTGGTAGGAGCTTTTGCATATTCTTCCAGTAACTTATGCTCATACCAGCATATGTATATTTCTTCCTTTAAAAGTACATAGAGTAATATTGTTCATATTGTTTGTTCATGTTATTTGTTCCTTCCCTAATAGCACTTATAAATCTTCCTCATCCTTGTTAATGCCACATAGTATATACCATTGCATGATATACTGAAAATTATTTATTTGCTTCCCTATTTAGTGACATGCCAAAGAGTTTGTTTCTGATAGGAAAGAATCCAGGGGGAAAAAATAACTTGAAATTGTGATTGGGAAATATGTGGTTATCATCTTTATTTTTATTTCAAAAAATAGTTACACAACAGTGTAAAATAATGTTTTCTTATATTAGAATCTGAAATTTTAAAATGAATATGGAATAAATCTAATTTATTATTTTATCATTTGAAACTCTTTTTAAAAAGCCCTTCTCTTATTTCTAGGATGTTTTAGAGCATCCTAGAGTAATATTAGAAATTAAAATTAACCCTGCATAAAAACCCACTGCTTTTTGAAATATTGAATACATATTTTTTGAAATAAAGAGTGGAGTAAGAGAGAGAGCCTGGGGCAAGATTATAGAGTGAAAAAGAGGATACGACCTAGAATCATCATGTGGGTAAAGGGGGGGATTTACACATTTTTTAAAATGTGAAACTCTTTTGTAGGCCAGCTTTAATGACCATTGTTGATGGAATATATAAGGTTTGCATCCATGTAGGATCAAAGCTGATAGAGAAGATTCTTCTCAACATTTCTCCTGACTGGCTCAACAGAGCTGTAGGTAAGATATCAACACACCATGGAGAGGCTATTCTTGGGGAAACCATTCATTTCAGGATTGTATTGGAGCAGAAAGAACACTAGATTTTAAATTAAGGCTTAATTTCTGCCAGTATAAAAGCAGAAGGGTAATTTAGCTTGAGTGAAGCACAAGATGGTATAAGGTAAGACTTGCTCTACACCTATCAGCACACGAGTAGAGGGAAGAAAGCACCTCGTCTCCTCTTACTCTAAAGTGTCAGTTGGTAAGCAAAACACTAGGATCCTAGTTTTGTAAAATTATATTGGGGTAACATTGGTTAATAACATTATATATATTTGAAATCACGTGTACAACTTTCTAATGCATCATCTGCATATTGCACTGGGTGCTCATCACCCAAAGTCTAGTCTCTTCCCATCATCATATGTTTGACCCTCTTTACCCTCTTCGTACCCCTTCACTCTCTTCCCCTCTAGTAACCGGCATACGGTTACTACCTTAGTTTTTTATCTTCTGAACCTTAGTTTTATACTAGTTAAGTAAATGAATGTGTGGCACTGTACATATGAAAATAGTCTACTGTCAGTGGAGTGGATTTGCGGTATCTTTAGCTGTGATGCCAGGTATAGTCACTGGCTGACGACAAAGCGAAGATAACCCATTTATCAGATGACCCAGCTTCATACCTTTCCTCATCAGTCTCAGACTCTCTAAGCAGATGAGGCAGTCTCTTAATAGTGGATTTTTTTCCATCTTGTGTGTCTAGTAATTTTTGCTTGAATGCTGAACATTACATATAGAACAATACAGACTGAGGTAAACAGAGTTTTTTTAGCCTGTAAATGGGCATGCCTGTTTTCCTAGACCTTTACTGGGAGCAGGGGGTGGGCAGAGTAGAGTCAATCTTGTTAGACATTGAGTTGGATTCAAGTTTGTTATTGCTATCTTTACCTTCAGGTCACCACTGGCCTCAGATTCCTCTAACATTATCTTGTGCTTATGCCAGTTTTCCCTAATATTCCTGCTCTACCCTCAGCTTTAACCCTTCACTCTGCACCTGGGCCTTAGAGAGAGTTCCTCTTCACGTTCTTGCACCTGCCCAACTTGTACACACTCTGTTGGTTGGTATTTGGTACATCCCAGCCTGGTAGTGGGGGCAGAAGTGAATTTCTTTTATTTATTTATTTATTGAATTTATTGGGGTGACATTGGTTAGTAAAACCATACAGATTTTGCCTGGCTGGAGTGGCTCAGTTGATGGAGCATCATCCCATGCACCAAAAGGTTGCCAGTTCGATTTTCGGTCAGGGCACATGTCTAGGTTGCGGGTTTGATCCCTAGTTGGGGAGCATGTGGAGGGCAGCCAATCGATGTTTCTCGCATCGCTCTCTCTGTCTCTCCCTCTCCATGTCCTTGGGTGAGGATTAAAAAATAAAATATAAAAAACAAAAAACCATATAGGTTTCAAGTATAGAACTCAATAAAACATCATCTACGTACTGCATTGTGTGCTCATTGCCCAGAGTAAAGTCTCTTTCTGTTCCTATTTATCCCCTTTTCCCACTTCCATTCTCCCCACCCCCTTTCTCTGTGGCTGTCACCACACTCTTGTCCATGTCTGTGTCATATTATATACACACACACACACACACACACACATATATATATATACACACACACATATATATATATAAATTTTTTTTTTGCTTAATCCCTTCACCTTTTTTTACCCAGTCCCCCTTCTCTCTGACAGCTGTCCATCTGTTCTCTGTATCTATGAGTCTGTTTCTATTTTGTTTGTTAATTTATTTTGTTCATTAGATTCCACATATAAGTAAGATCGTGCACTGTCTTTCTCTAACTGGCTTTTTTCACTTAGTGTAATAATCCCCAGGTCCATCCCTGGTGCCACAAAAGGTAAGATTTCCTTCTTTTTTACAATCAAGTAGTATTTCATTGTATAGATGTCCCACAGCTTTTTATGCACTCATCTACTGATGGGAACTTGGGCTGCTTCCACATCTTGGCTGTTGTAAATAACGCTGCTATGAACAGGGATGCATATATTCTTTCAAATGGGTTTATTGGGTTTCTTCAAATATATTCCCAGAAGTGGGATTGCTGAGTCAAAAGGTAGTTCCATTTTTAATTTTTTGAGGAAACTCCATTCTGTTTTCCACAGTGGCTGCACCCGTCTGCATTCCTACCAGCAGCGCACAAGGGTTCCCCTTTCTCCACACCCTCACCAGCACTTGTTTGTTGATTTATTGATGATAGTCATTGTGGCAGGCATGAGGTGATATCTCATTGTGGTTTTAACTTGCATCTCTCTGATGATTAGTGACACTGAGCATCTTTTCATATGTCTCTTGGCCATCTATATGTCCCCTTTGGAGAAGTGTGTATTCAGATCCTTTGTCCATTTTTTAATTGGGTTGTTTATCTTCTTGGTGTTAAGTTGTATAAGTTCTTTATGTATTTTGGAAATTAACCCCTTATTCAGATGTATCAGTGAATTTGTGCTCCCATTTGGTTGGTTGCCTTTATTTTGTTGATGGTTTTTATTGCTTTTTTTTTTTTGCTTTGTTTCCCTTGTCTGAGGAGATATGTCAGCAAAAATATTGCTACTGGAGATGACTGAGATTTTACTGCCTGTGTTTTCTTCTAGGATTTTTATGATTTTGTGACTTACATTTAAGTCTTTTATCCATTTTGAGTTTATTCTTGTGTATGGTGGTCTAGTTTCATTTTTTTTGCATGTACTAGTACAATTTTCCTACCACCATTTATTGAAAAGACTGTCTTTACTCCATTGTGTGATTGCCTCCTTTGTCAAATATTAGTTTACCATAAAGGATGGGTTTATTTCCTGGCTCTCTGTTCTGTTCCATTGACTTATCTATCTGTTCTTATGCCAGTACCAGGCTGTATTTTTTAAAAGAACATTTTTATTGATTTTTTTAGAGAGAGAAGAAGGGATAGGGAACGAGAGAGAGTGATACATTGATTGGCTACCTCCCACACGCCCCACCACTGGGGATCTACAGCCAGGCATGTGGCCTGACTGGGAATAGAGCCGGCAACCCTTGGTACATGGGACGATGCCCAACCAACTGAGCCACACCGGCCAGGCCCAGGCTGTTTTGATTACAGTGGCCTTTTAGCATAGTTTAATGTCAGGTAGTGTGATTCCTCCAACTTCGTTCTTTCTCAAGATTGTTGGGGCTATTTGGGTCTTTTGTGGCTCTTTATGAATTTTTGGAATATTTGTTCTAGATTTGTGAAATATGCATTGGTATTTTAATAGGAATTGCATTGAATCTGTAGATTGCTTTGGGCAATATGGACATTTCTTTTTTTAATCCTCACCTGGGGATATGTTTTTACTGATTTTAGAGAGAGAGGAGGGTAGAGAGAGTATGGACATTTTGTTGTTGTTATTAATCTTAACCTGAAGATATTTTTCCATTGCTTTTCAGGGAGAGTGGAAGGAAGGGAGGGAGGAACACACACACACACACACACACACACACTCTCTCTCTCTCTCTCTCTCTCTCTCTCTCTCTCTCTCTCGGACTGGTTGCCTCCCACACACGCCCCTACCATGGGCTGGGAGCAAATCCTTAACCTAGGCACGTGTCCTTGACCAGTAATTGAACCTGTGACCCTTTGGTGTGTGGGCCGATGCTCTGACCACTGAGCAACATGGGCCAGGGTAAGAGTTTGGACATTTTAATGATGTTAATTCTTCCATTTCATGAACAGTTATTTTTATCTTTCTCAGTTTATTTCTTCAGTGTCCTATAATTTTCTGAGTATAGGTCTTTTACCTCCTTGATTAAATTTATTCCTAGGTACCTTGTTTTTAAATGATGCAATAGTAAATGTGTTTGTTTTCTTAATTTCTGTTTCTGATAGTTCATTATTATGTAAAAATTGGTATGTAAAATTCCACCAATTTCTGAATATTAATTTTGTATCTTGCCACTTTACTGAATTCATTTATCAGTTCTAGTAGTCTTTTGGTAGAGTCTTTAGAATTTTCTGTGTACAGTATCATGTCATCCACAAATAGTGACAGTTTTACTTCCTCCTTTCCAATTTGGATGCCTTTCATTTTTTCTTCTTGTCTGATGGCTGTGGCCAGGACTCCCAGTACTATGTTGAATACAAGTGGTGAAAGCTGACATCCTTGTCCTGTTCCTGATCTTAAGGGGAACACTTTTAGTTTTTGTCCATTGGGTATAATGTTGGCTGTGGGGTTTTTCATCTATGGCCTTTATCATGTTGAGGTGGGGAGTGAGTTTCTGATGCTGGTCCAGCACTAATCTTACACAGGCCCTGTGTCCCTGGGTCTTGGATATGGCGCCTTCTCGGTGATACTGTCCCTCCTGCCATGGCAGCCAAGCTCTGCCTTGTGTCTTTGGTCTTGCATGGCCTTACCTCTCTCCCAGCAGTGGAGCACCACTAATAGTCTTGATCCAGGTGATTTTCTGCCTCTGCCCAGGGGATAGCAGGATTTTTCTCATAGCTGTTCTCAGTCTTCCATGGGTCCTCATCTGTACTCTTGGGCCACAGGATTTTCCATCCTTCCTCCAGCAGTTTAAGGCTTTTGTTCCTTAAGGGAGTGGTCTTGAGTGGTGTTCTGTACTTTTTCTAATGGCAGCTTCTACCCTTCTCCAGGCCTTCACCACAGTTAGAAGCTTTCTCTGATATCTTGCCCTTTGTTCAGTCTTGTGAGCATGTGATGGAGATGAGAATAGACTGTGAGGCTGCAAACTCCCCTTGACTTTTACAATTAATTGAAAATTTAAGCACATTCTTCTTCCTTGTTTGGACCTGCTTCTTTCTGAGCTCTGCGTTAGGTAAACCTGTGCTCCTCTTACATCTGTTCTTACATTTCATTCTTTTTGGCTGCTGCACAACCTTGGTTTTCTCATGGTTCAAAAAATTGGAATTTTATAATTTTTCAGCTTTTTTCTGATGATTGTTAAGGCAGGAGCCGTGCTCTTTTCAGCTTTCTACATCCTAACTGAAAGTCTCTGTGTTTTATTTGATTTCTTTATTAATTTTCATTCTTTTGGCTGTTTTCATTGCTTTTCTCAATTTCTTAAATTATATTTTCAGTCTTACCTCTCATTTTTTGCACAGTGTCAATTAGTCTTTATTTTTCAGAGAAGCATTAGTCTCACCAAGGCTGTGTCTGTTTGCCCATTCTGGAGACAATTCAAACCACACTTCTTGATATTTAATGAAATTGTAACCATAAGTGAAAATGTGGGCACCTATTTTAAAGTGGTCACCAGACCATTCACACTGTCACTAATCTTGATTTTTTTTAGCTTATCAAATTGAAAATACAAATATTTTAATCATTTTAAAGAATTTCACACCTCTAAAACTGGGTCATTGGCCCTTCAGGAGTCGTAGAAAGTCTGGTGATGTTGGTCAGGGAACATAGTCAATAGTGCCTTGTTTGTCTAGTATTGAGCAACCTGCTAAATAACTTGATTAGATGTCCTAAAAAAAGAAGAGGAAAAATATGGGACAAATGCAAAATACAATGACATTTCTGTCTATAATTTTAGTATTTTTATATTTTTATATATTTTTATATCAAGATTTAATATTCATTAAGTAACTGATTCAAGGTTCTGTTATATAAACAATATGTATGTATGTCTGTATAACTATAAGAACTGTAGACTGGATAAAAATGAGTACTTTTTAAAATAATTTTCTTTTAATTATAGTTGATATACAGTATTATACTAGTTTCAGGTGTACAATCAGTGATTAGACATTTATATAACTTACAAAGTTTTCTTCTATGTAATTTGTTGTTTCTGGTATGATCCACTTTGAGTTAATTTTTATATATGAGCACAAAGAGTAGGTCTAGTTTCATTGTTCTGCATGTGGCTTTCCAATTATCCCAGCACTGTTTATTGAAGGGTCTTTCTTTTCTCCATTGTATGCTTTTGGCTCCTTTGTAAAAAATTATTTGCCCACATACATGTGTTTGTAACCTTTGCCATTTTAATGATATGTCTTGGTATGGGCCTCTCTGCGTTCATCTTGATTGGGACTCTCTATGTTTCCTGGACTTGTACAGTGGAACCTCAGTCCTCGAATGTAATTCATTCTGGAACTCTGTTTGAGAAGTGATTTGTTTAAAAACTGAATCATTTTATCTCATTAGAAATAATGTAAATTGAATTATTTCATTCCAGACCCCCAAATGATTCCGTTTTAACCTTTCTTATATATAATACACATCTAATGTACTGTTTAATCTATGCACAAACACTTTTTTTCTTAAATTTATGAAACCACCCCTTTCTAGCCTTAAACGAATCACTTCCAGCCCTCGTTCCAGGGTGTCTTTCAGGAGGTCAGACGCAGCATCTTTGCTTTTTCACATGTCACTGCCTCCGTAATGCTGTCACCGGCTAACTGCTTTTCCTTTACCCAAATCAACCAGTTTTTCTACCTTTTCAGTTGCCTTTGATTGTTGTTTTGTGAGGACTTTCACACCCTTAGCAACATCAGCACCTTGATTGCCTCTTTATGTTTTAAAATTGTGCTAATCATCCATTTCACCAGCAACCAAAGCAGAAAACCCACAAAAATCTTCACAGTACAATTTCCTGAGATGTTAACAATTCGAGATTTAGTGGTAAATTGATTTGCACTCTCTCCTTTGTTTGTGGCCTGAGAGACACTTTTTGTCATGCTGATGTATCAGCCTGAAAGAGTTGTCAGGCTGAGAACCGAAGTTTTGTTCAACAACTGAGACACTTCTTCTGTGGACAACTTGGTCGAGAAATGAATAGTCTGAGATGGGAGATGTTCAAGAACTGAGGTTTGAGAGTATGTCTTTTTTCTTCACCAGGTTAGGGAAGTTTTCAGTCATTATTTCTTCAAGTAGGTTTTCAATCCCTTGCTCTCTTTTTTCTCTATCTGGTACCTCTGTGATGGGGATGTTTTTATGCTGGATGTTGTACCAGAAGTCTTTTAAATTATCCTCTTTTTTAAAAAATCCTCACCCAAGTATACTTTTTCCATTGCTTTTCAGAGAGAATGGAGGGGGGAGAGAGGGAGGGGGGAAGGAGGGAGAGAAAGAGAGAAACATCGATGTGAGAGAGAACACTGATTGGTCGCTCCCCCCACACCCCAACTGTGTTGGGGATTGAGCCTGCAACCCAGGCAGTGCCCCTGGCCGGAATCGAACCTTGGACCCTTCAGCCCACGGGCCGATGCTCTAACCACTGAGCAAAACCAGCTAGGGTGCTATTCTCATTTTTAAAACTACTTTTTCTTTTTGCTGCTCGATTGGGTGTTTTCTGCTACCTGTCTTCCAAATCGTTGATTTAAACATCTGCTTCATCTAATCTATTGATTCCTGCTGGTGCATTATCCATTTTAGTTATGACAATCTTCATTTCTGTTTGCTTCTTTTTTATGGTTTCCATGTCTTTTTTTAAATGCTGTTGAAGTTCTCACTGTGTTCCTTGAGCATCCTTATAACCAGTGTTTTGAACTCTGCATCTAGTAGATTGCTCGTCTCCATTCTGTTTAGTTCTTTTTGTGGAGTTTTGTTCTGTTCTTTCATTTGGGACCTGTTTCTTTCTCTCCTTATTGTGGCAGCCTCCATGTTCTTGCTTCTATGTATTAGGTAGAGTTACTACGTCTCCCAGGCTTGGTAGAGTGGCGTATTATATTAGGTGTCCTATAGGGTCCAGTGGCACAGCGTCCCCGATCACCCAAGTTGGGCACTGCAGGTACACTGCCTGTGTGGGGTGTATATACCCTCCTTTTGTATTGAGCCTTGATTTCTGTTGGCATATCAGTCAGAGGGTTTTACCCCCAGGCCAGTTAGCTGCAACCGCTGTGGAGGATCAGCTGTGCAGGGATCTGCTCCATGGACCAGGACTTACTTCAGTGGAGCTCTGGTGCCTGCTGAGCCTGCCCCTTGAGTGTGTTGCGTGTGGAGGTGGTTGGGTGGTGCTTCAGTGTGGTATGAAACTGTTCACTGGGTGTGCTGGCTCTGGAGCCTCCCAGGAGATGCAGGGCAAGATCAACTGCTGCCTATATTCTGCCCACGGCCACCCAGCATGAGCTTCAAAGCTATCTGCAGATGCTACTCGTGCTGGGCTTGGAGGTGCCCAGAAGAAGCCAATTGCGAACGAAGTGTGGCTGCTGCTAGTGCTGGGCTTGGGACCACTTAGTGAGAGGTATAGGGCATGCTGACGCCAGATGCTGCTTGTTTGGGAGATTTTAGGAAAGTCTGAAGCCTGAGCCAAGACAGGCCATTTTTATAGAAGAGGCACTGTAGCACTAGCTGGTTTGGCTCAGTGCTTAGAGGGTCAGCCCACAGGCTGAAGGGTCCTGTGTTCAATTCCAGCCAAGGGTANATGCCCAGCCAGGCATGGCTCAGTGGTTGAGCATCGACCTAGGATCCAGGAGGTCACAGTTCCATCCCAGATCAGGGCACATGCCCGGGTTGCAGGCTCAACCCCCAGTGGGGGGGGTGTAGGAGGCAACCAATCAATGTGTCTCTCTCACTTTGATGTCTCTCTCTCTCCCTTCCACTATCTCTGAAAAGCAATGGAAAAAATATCCTCGGGTGAGAAAAAAAAAGAAAGAGAAAGAAAGGCACTGGAAACAGCTGGACTGGGCCTGACCGTTGCAGGGGGTGGGGTCTCAGGGAATCACCAGGGCAGGGCTAATGGTGGAGTCTCAGATAAGGCGCCCCCCTGTTTACTCTTTGGAGGGGTCAGCAAAGGAACAATGGCCTCTGCCTGCACTTCTGCCTGGGGGAAAGCTGCCCCTCCAGCTTTCACCCTAATATCAGACAATTCAGTTCCTCCCATATGTCTCTGGTGCCTTTCGAGCTGCTGCCCCAGTGCTGGAGCTCAGAGCAAGTGAGTCTGAGTAAGTCCATGTGTGGGCCCTTTAAGAGGAACCGCCTGGGACTCCAGCAGCCTCCGTCCCACTGAGCCTCAATCCCCGCTGGTTTTCACAGCACTGGAGCCCCGGGGCTGGGGGCCTCGCTCCTGGGTGGGGGGGTACCTCTGCAGTCAAGATGCCCCTCCCAGTTTTTATCCCCCTCACATGGATGTGGGACCAGCCTATTCACGCCCCCACCCCTCCTACCAGTCTCTGATTTCTCATGTGTGTCCTTAGCTGTAGGAGTTCTGTCCGGCTGGATTTTAGGCAGTTCTGAATGATTTTGGTTCTGTAGTTTAGTTGTAAGTGTGGTGTGGTTGTGGGTTGTTGCCAGTTTCGTGTTTACCTACCATCATCTTGACTGGAAGCCTAAGAATTCTTTCCTGATAACGGATTCCTTCTGTTTCAGGCTGAATTTAAGAAAACTTGAATCTCAGTTTTTCTATTGTTCTAAGAAGCCAGTAGCTGCACCACGATGGCAAATGCTGTCAGTTTGAACAATGTGTTATCTGTGCCTTCTCTCCCTGATCAGCAGGAGTTGCATGCCATCATCCTAGTGTGCCTTCAACAACCTGTAACTAGAAAGAGAAGGGAGAGCAAGAGAAATTTAAAGTAGGATTGGTACTTGAGAAACCACAGGAAACAGTGAGCAGTGCAATGTGTGCGTTTCTGCCTGCCAGGAAAGGATACTAAGAGCTGTACATGTGTGTTCCATCCTTGCAGCACCCCCATCAGAGGTCACCTACGGCCTGGTTGCAGCGGACTTGCTCCAGTCCTTGTTGGCAGCCGGCAGTGCACCTTGTGTCCTGAAGGTGCAGAGCCTCTTCCTGTTAGATGGAAACAGCTACCCGCTGCAGCAGGATTTCTCCCTGCTGGACTTTTCCCCCGACGTGTGAAGCATGCATCCCATGCCCTTCGCTGAGACCAGGTGAAGAGACTGCAGGCGCTCAAGGAGACTAAAGTGATTTGTTTGTTGTTTTTTTAAATCCTCACCCAAGGATATTTTTTTCCCATTGCTTTTCAGAGAGATTCGGGGAGAGAGAGAAAGAGAAACATCGATGTGAGAGAGACACATCAATTGGTCGCCTCCTACACACGCCCCAACCAGGGCCCGGGATTGAGCCTGAACTGAGGTACGTTCTCTTGACTGGAATCGAACCTGAAACCCTTTAGTCTGCAGGCTGACACTCTAACCACTGAGTAAAACTGGCTGGGCTGAAATGATTTTTTAAAATATGTTTTTATTGATTTCAGAGAGAGGAAGGGAGAGAGAGAGAGAAACATCAATGATGAAAGTGAGTCATTGGTCAGCTGCCTCCTACACGCCCACGACTGGGGACTGAGCCCAAGACTTGGGCATGTGCCCTGACCGGGAATCGAACCATGACCCCCTGGTTCATAGGTCGACGCTCAACCACTGAGTGCAACACCGGCCCTGCTGAAATGACTTGTTTTTGAAGCAATGAATGACAGGGCTTTTGCTTGGCATTTTTAAATATACAGGGGTGGGCAAAAGTAGGTTTACAGTTTTGAGTACACGAAAGTTTATTCTTGTATTGTTTATTAATTACTGTATTATTTTCCATACTAACAACTGTAAACCTACTTTTGCCCACCGCTGTATTTTATAAAGAGCTAAATAAATATATTTTATACAGAGCTAAGTATGTAAAATAAAACTTTTTTTCTCAGAAAATTCTGTTAGGGTTTTTGTTTTTGTGTTTTCCTTTCTTGCTTCTAGAGCAGTGATTTTGAACCTTTTTCATCTCACAGCACACAAACTACTAAAATTCTGTAGCACACCAAAAAAATACGTTTTTTGCCAATCTAACAAAAAATTAGGTATAATTTAGATTCATTCACACTGGACGGCTACTGTTCTGTTGGCTGTTGTCATTTTTTTGACAATCTAAGGGAAAAGAGGTCAGTGCCCCTGACTAAATAGTCAGGTATCACGTGTTAAAAATTCTTGCGGCACACGGTAGAAAATCGCTGTTCTAGAGAAATGATCTGGCAGTAAAGGCAATCCCTTCCCAAGGAATGAAAGGTTCACTTTATATAGTCCTTGCTATATTCCAGGCACTGTACTGAGTGCTGGGGATACAGGCGTAAGACGCTTCCTCAGGAATTGCCTTTCTGCTGTACTCACAAATTGGTTTTCCTTATTCCTACTTTAATAGACTCAGCAGGAGATGATTCCTTAATTGTAAGTACACATAATAGTGGGTTGGTTTGAATAAGCCCAAGTTTAGACAAGTTCGAGATGAGTATGTCTGCTTAGGAAGAAGCATTGGAAACAAAGAAGTCAGGGCCATGTTTCATTTTCCAGAGGGAGGAGGAGCTGTATTGTTACTTCATTCCTAGGATTTCAGTGCCTTACTGAGTTTACTTACCAACACACATTTAGCAATTGGTTTTCTCATTACGATTGTAGGAGAAGCTCATATAAAATGGTGGCACTTAGCCTGTAAGTCTGGAGTTTGTTGAGAGTTAATAGATTAAGAATGTTGCTTGAAAACAATTAAATTCATGATGAAATGAACAAATTTATTTTACTATGTCTGTGCTTTGTGAAATTCTTATACATAGTTCATTGAAATTGTTTTCTCTAATTCAGGGTGGGTTTTTTTTTCTTTTTTTAAAACTTGGTTTCCCTAAAAATGAACCTCGGGAGTTTTGTGATTCTCCCAAAAATAATATGCAAAAATGTGTATGGAAGAGTGCAGACACACAAAAGTTCATTTTTCAGTGGAGAAGGGTCCATGCCTTTCAGTAAATCCTTAGAGGCACCTTTGACCAAAAAAAAGTAGAAACTTTGTGAGTTAATTTGTGGGAAAGGTAAGGAGATTAGACCGAAGAATTTCTAAGGTCTTATCTAGCACCAGTAAAGGTGGGTAGAGAAAGAGCTGTCCTATTTTGTATCTAGAGATACTAGAATTCAAACAAAACAGTTGGCTCCCCTTGGTAATTCGTGTACGCCCTCTAATCCATGCTCTTTCAACCATAGCCTCAGTAGGAGCAAATTCAGAGTTTCGGTGTGAAACCTGCCTCTTCAGTGTAAGCCCACCAAGAGGGCTATCCTCTTAAGTTTGCCCTTCTTGCCTAATTCCTGTATCAACCAAAACGTAACCCCCTAGAACTGACGGCTCTTCACATCCTACTCAGAAGAAGCCTTTAAGCCATTTTAAATGAGACAAAGAGCGCCAGATCACACCAATATCTCCTCACAGCCTTTGGCTTACATTTCATGGGCTAACACTTCCAGGAACCCCTGTTTAGACTGAAACTATTACCTCCTGTCCTGAGGGATCAGATTTAGCTCCAGAGATTATTCTCTATCTAATTGGGATCCTTGGAGCCTCAGCTCATAGCTGTGTTCCTTACCTGAGATGTGCAAGGGAGTATATTCAACCTACTCTGTTCATTTTCATAAAACTCAACTGGGTAGCCTGAGTGTGTAGGAATTTAGTGGGTCTACATCTGGCATTCTAGGTAAATTCTTCATCTGCTGATAGTTCAGCGGAGGGGACAGCTCTTCCATCTTAGAGGCATGCGTCTTTCTCCCCACTAGTGAGATCTGTGCTAGATTTCCTTTTACATCTTGGATTTTGGGGACAGAGGTCTGATCTTCAAGTGGGATGACAAAGTTGGACCCATGATTCCCCTGCAGACATTTGCTGAGAGTGAGCCACGTGTTAGGGACTGGTAATACTAAGAAGGGCTGCCTTCAGTGAGTCCATAGACAGGCTGGTGGAGAAACATTTAAACAAAATAATAGTAATAATAGTACTAGGATTAAACCTGTGTGGAAAAGGCAAAAGAGGCAATATAATAAGTTTATTAGAACTGTTGCAAGTGATAAAAACCCAACTCACTCTGGCTTGAGCAAAAAATGGGAGATACTCTTTCATGTAACTGAAAGTGGTACTAGCTTAAAGCACAGCTGAATCCATTGGCTTGAATTATGTGTCGGGTTACACCAACCCCTAATTCTTTTCCTTCCCTCTATTTGTCCTGTTGCTTTCCTTGCCTTGTTCTCTTCCCTGTCCTGTGTTTCTTTTCCCCACTCTCTCGCCCTTTGCCTCCATCTTTCCCTCTTTTCTGTACCTTTCCCACCTATTGTCATGGACGAAAGATGACTGTAGGAAGCCCCAAACTTTCCTCTTTACGGAAAGAGAGACTCTTTGCTAGTGTCACATAACAAATTTCATGGAAGGACTCTCATGGAATCTCCTTGGTTTCCTGCCCTCCTCCTGTGACCAGGGGTGGATGGGACACTGGGACTGAAAAGACTAAAATCACATAGGATGCAAGGAGCCCTTTGTTGATGAAGGGGTGCCCAAGGCAGGCACAGACATGTCCATGGCAATGGGAGATGCAGGAAGGCTTCATGGAGGAAATATTCAACCTGCAGTTAAAAATATTTTCACCACAAAAACAGAGTGATGGGCATACAATAGCATGGCATACTTGGGGAAATGGAGCATCTCAAATGGGGCTGAAAAAAATGAATAACCTTCCCCCCAAATGAACAGGAGAGACGTAAGACATTGCAGCAAAGACAACACATTTCGAAGAAATCTTAACTCACAAAGCAATGGAGGTTTTATCTACAGGTTCACTTTAGTGCGTGAAAACATACTGATTGGCACAAAGCATTGAATTACATTTTTTTAAAAAAATATATCTTTATTGATTTCAGAGAGAGGAAAGGAGAGGGAGAGAAAGATAGAAACATCAATGATGAGAGAGTCATTGATCAAGCCCACAACCTGGGCATGTGCCCTGACCGGGCATCAAACCCCGATTGCCTGGATCCTAGGTCGATGCTCAACCGCTGAGCCACGCCCGGCCGCTGAATTACATTTTTTAATGATACCAATTCTTCATAAACTAGAACACTGGTGTGCTGGGAAACCACAGGTTCTGTCAGCTTCCAAATAACTAAGTCACCATTGTAGCTCAGGCTCTGAAATAAGGGTTGCTATTAACATAAATTAGAAATTGAATCTAAAGACATCGATGATAAATTGACATAACACTTCATGCTCTAAAATTCACATTCATGGGGTTTGAAGTGGATCAGAAGAGGGCTTTTGTTCTGTATGCTGTCCTGCAAGAGTGGGTAGACAGTTCTCCAAAGTTTAGACAGGATGACCTTTTCACAGTGGTATAAATTATCACCACCCCCAGGACTCTCCTAAATTGCGGTGACCCGAGGCCCCCAGTTTAAGACTAGTCTTACATTACTGTAGGTTCAACACAGCTCACATAGTTGACCATGGGCTATGACGTGGCTTTCTTAGAACAAAACATCTGTGATTTCTCAGAACATTATAGAATGAAGCATCTTCTAGATGCTAAATTCGTACCCTGGAGGGTCTCTAGGGGCAGTACAGGTCATGGATCAGAACGATTAGAATGAAGTGTTCATTTTTCCTAGGAAATAAATACTGGCCCTTGTTTTAAAGTCAGTAGGGGGAGAAATATGTGAGAGGGAATGAGGTTTACCAGTCAGTTGTCATTCTGTCTTTGGAGGTCTTGAACTTGGTTTGTTATTAAGAAGTTCATTCCACCCTCTGCTTCCAGCTGGAGGGAGGGCATACATTTGCACTGAGACAACTTCTCCCCGTTCCGTCGCCAGTCCCGATGCCCAGCTCCTCCGGTGAGCTGGAGCAGGGAGGAAAGAAGGAAAGGGGGCAAGTGTCTCCTTACAAATCGGCTCCCACTATGGTCCTGTCATCTGATGCTCTGCCCTGCCAGTGTCCTGACTGCTAATGTCTTCTGCGCAGGGGCACCCAACACTCCTTTGCCTGGAGTGCATGCGAGGGTTCTTGGGGGGGCTTGTCATTCTTACAAAGTACATGCACAGTTTCTTGTCATGGGAAATCAAGCTCCTCCTTCGTCTCTTCAACCCCTTAACTCCCTCCAAATGTCACCTCCTCTCTCCATCTTGATGCCTCCGATTCATTCCACCCCATGCTCAGATAAGTACAGCAGAGCAGGTCAGCTATTCTC